ATTTAGCTGGTCATAGGTCAAAGTGAAAGGGTCAAAGGTAACATTTCACAACAAAATAGAAAGATCAAGATATTAAATTGTATATGGATCAAATTATACTTTCTCTGTCAAATTGACATGAAGAGGTGAAGAATTTAGCTGATTAAGAGACAAATTCAACAGGAACTGCTATTTAAATAATAGCACATTACAAGTCTGTCTTGAATATACTTAGTTTGTCGTTTGCCTGAAGATTCAATAGAACAATAAAAAGTCAGTCTGATGATTAACTCATTTTGTGAAAACCAAAAGTACACAAGCATATTCCCAAATATCTTGCTTCATAATATGGATGTCAGTATTCAAATGAGTAGTTTTAAATATCTGTATGATTAAAGTCGATATTACACTTAAATTATCTAAGATGGTCTCATTCAATTTGAGATTATAGGAATTTGTTGTAAATATCAAATATGTAAAGAGAGCATGCTAAAAGACAATCTAAGTCTGTGAAATTTACCTGTGCATAAATATATTCAGAAATGCAAGTACCTTGATATCAGAATTTTACATGAGGGTACAAGAAAAATGTATTTATAGATAAAAATTATCTGGATATTAAAAATACTATGAAGGTTATGTTTTGAATGTTACTGGTAGGAAAAATTATTTTAATGACCAAGTTACATGAAATTTGTGTTTATTATAAAATTGACAATAAACAAAATGATATATTTACCTGGATAAATACCTGAATTGTTTAATGTTTACCTGAAAACTGAAATTTTGTGTCATTCCAGAAAACAATTGTTTGCCGGTGTAGTTATATGAACTGACTTCATACAAGCCCTGTCCACGTTGTGACTATGAGGTCAGGTTTTCTTAGGGCTGTTTTCCCCCACAAAGATGATTTTCAGTTGCTTTTTAAATGCAGGGTTAAGAATACTGTAAATAATGGGATTGATAGCAATATTAAAACAAAACGATGAATTACATAGACGAAGCATCTGTTTAAGGCTTAAAGGAATGTCCCCGTTCATGTTTAAGGTACCAGTGCTGGTAAGTAACTCCACTATAAAGAAAGGAACATAGCTGAGTATGAAGGCCGAAGTTATTACAGCAAATAACAAAGTGCTGTGGGCAAGACTGGCCGTGGATTTTGGTGTGCGATGTTTCATACTACTGTTAGAGTTTCGGGACTTTCTCTTTCTGAATGCACCAGAAATAGATGAAAAATGAGAAATGACTGATCCATTTCTTTGAGGTTTTGGAGAATTGTCCACAGTGGACATATTGATGGATTTTGTTCTGATGATATTGTCAGTCTCTCGTGGAGTACTTTGTAAGGACGAGTCTGGTGTATTCCGTATTGTCAGACGTGTAACATGTGGGTGCCCATTTTGAACATGGCCATTAGAAATAGGAGTTGAATGATCTTGTTTAGTAGAGAATTCTGTTTTATCACTTTCACATGAGGAGAAGGTGAGATTTAAATGTCCTCCTTCACTGTGTGCCGTCTCCTGAGAGTCATCATCTCCACATTGATGACTGGTGTTTAGACAGAGCTGGGACCCATGTTTACACTCCTCATACAGTTGGTCCGGCTGGTCTCCTATGTCACTCAGGCTGTTACAAGAGGAGCCGTAAGGTGATGTTGTTGGAATTTCAAGATTGCTGTGTTGAACATTGTTTGGTTTAGGATGATCGTTGTGCTGTATGGATAATCCCAGGCTTATTTCATTCAGATCTGCCAACTTGACATCATCTGAGTGGTTCGCAAACACCTCATCAGTCTCTGAGAAATGTATGTGCTTTATGTTATCCATGGATACACTATTGATGCTGCGAACAGACATGGACTTTATCTTATTTAAGTCTTCCCCAACTTTTTGGTGTTTCCATTTCCAAATTTCCTTGTATAACAATGAATACAGAACTACCATTGTTACAAAAGCAATAAGGTTAGCAATCAGAAGGGTGAAAAAATATAACGGCCTTACCAACAGATCTTTATAGTTATCATCATCAGCACAGTCCATTCCATACACACCTGGAATAGGTGTCTTAACCATTTCTGGTCCATGGAAAACACTGATGGGCCAAGCACACAAAAATCCCGCTGCTATCACTGCAACAGCCATCTTTTTGGCTTTACTCATCGTAAACGATTTCATCGGATGGCAAATCTTGTAGTAACGATCAAATGCTATGCACACCAAGATTCCAACTGACCAGAAATTAACAATACTTCCAACAAAGCGAATAATTTTACACAGTACTGGAAGATGACCAGAATACATGGGAAGTCTTCTGTCGATAGCCTCAAAACTCAGTGTGATTGATCCAATGACATCAGATATCCCCAACAACAGAATGAAGTAATTAATAGTGTTTCTTTTGAACTGACAGCTATAAATGTATACAACAGTTCCATTTCCAAAAATTCCAAGTACTGACATGATGATAAGAAATGTCATTACAGGCATATTTGCCTCAAACATTTTCTCGTTGTATAGCCATAAAGCGTAATAGTTTGGTAATATGTTGATGCCATCTGAGTCAACGCTGCTGTTTACAAAGAGGTCCGAGCCGTTCAGCACTTCATTTGTGCCCATTTCTTGACGTCACTTTCCAATATGTGAGATATATCTAAACGGTTTTTAGTATCATCATCGAGTGACACAAAGTTGTAGAAAGTTTATAATTAATGAAGTTTGTGATATCCATTGTCCCTTTCCAGACAATCACTGTGGAAATACTGCAGGGCCTTCATGTTTGTATACATATGTTAAGGTCTGTGTCATACAACAGGTGACGACATAAGATACAGTTTCAAGTATTCACTGTTACTTGTGTAATATCCTTCCTCTTTCTTTTCTTTATCCATGCTTATGTTATATTTCCTTGAGGCGTGTTCGTCATTTTGAAAGTTTTAACTCATTGAGAATAACTCTTCCTCAGCAGGATGTTTCAGTTGGTTACGCTGAATTTCACTCGGGTGTCCCTGTCGCTTGTGTGCGTAAGCAGCGTATATATGTGACTATACCCTATTTCTCAGGTATATAGCAGACGCATACTTCAACCAAGGATAGTATTGTTACATGTATTTTTAATGTGTTTTCTGTGCAGTGTCTCCCAGTAGTACAGATGTTTACAGAACAACATTAAATACAGCAAGGTGGTCGTTCATGCTGACTTCAGTCAGGAGTTCTTAGTAGTCATTCTCGGTAAACTTTTACACCTTTTCTATATGACAACATTCCCCAAATTATTTCACTATATTCACTTTAATTTGAATGACAAGGAAAGTCCTTTACCTTTTCTAAAAATAGGTGATAATTGCTTGCAGGGCTAAGACGTCCACCCACTCCACCTGTGTTCATTGGCTATGTATTAGGCAGAAGGGTTGTTCTACTGTAGTAAGCAAGACATGATTGGGGAAGTCCAGACAAAATCTGGCCAGGGCAGGGAGTGTACCAATGTCATTATATTAATGTTTCTTAATGTTCTATAGTGTTATGTAATATCTTGTGTTATTTCTTTATTTGACACTGGATTAAATATGACAGGATTTGTCAGTAGCGATAGTCATAAGGATATTTGATAATTTGTAATAGATGTGTGTTCAGTGTAGAAGTGGATCAGACTTGTGTATACACACAAGTTTTGAAGTGAGGTAAATATGTCTCTTTGGCTTTAGAGCTTCCCTAAATAGAGCTTGTACAGTTATCTACTAGAAAACATTTAAAGGGACACAATGGAATAGGAATGCTGTTTCCCTGTAATTATTGTCAATGTATGGAGAGAAGACATGGTGACTGTCAACTGTATATCCTTTTTTAAAGTTTAGTATGTAATGCGGTTAATGTTGATATTTAATCACGTCAGGTGAAAGGTCAGAAAGCAGTAATAGTGGACGGAAAACTGTTAAAGAAATAAATAAATGAATGAAAAAGAATGAATGACGAGTCTCAATGTGTCAATGAACTGTTGAGGATTATATAGAAATTTAGGGGAAATATTGAATGTACCGGTATTCAATCTGATCAGCTATGTTGTATTTAGCCAAACAGGCAGAATTTTATGTCAATAATTTGAATAATAAAATAGTCCATGTCTCAGTTTCCTGAAAAACACAAACCGTTAGTGAGCTTTGGTCATGCTTCTTGGATCAAAGGTTAGGTAGGTCAGTGCTTTAACTGACTGAGCTAGGGTGGCCCTCCTCATACCAAGATTTTCCAAGGTCAAATATACTCTTTATTGTACTTATTATCATATTGTGAACTGTTCTGATATAATATGTATACATACAGATTCATATTGGCATACATAACTACTTTTCCAATATTTTTGCCCCCAAATAATATTTCCCTTGGCTGTCATTCCATCATTCCATCACAAATTCACTTCAGCTCGTTCACACTTAAATGGATACTTATATAGAACTATAACTCGGTATGTACTTTGTAGTTGTATCACGATACAGGGAGGGGAAGTTGGAAAGGGGGATATCAGGTTCCTCTCAGTGGTCTTCAAAGTTGATCCTGTTTACATATTTTGAGTTGATATACTGTAATGGTCAGAAATGATGGATGGATGCCTTTTCCATAAAATGCTCTATCCAATCTTTCCATCTTCATTTACTGACTTTCTTTTAGAATGTTGAGTGATAACAAGGTCATTTTAATAGATTTTGGATTCATGCTGATTTTTTTTCTTTGGAGGTTATTGTTAAAGAAAACTTACAATTTCAAATTTTTCACATGTTTTAGATTTTGATAAGACACTGCCTTTACTGCCTTAAAAGGTTCTGAATATTACTAAGTGCTGGGCCTACTACTAATGTAATGGTAAAATAATGTCTAACATTAGTCAACATTTCTACTAAATAAGGTTGTGATTCTTACCCAACATGGGCTTATTGCGAGATAGAAATAAAATCAGATTCTCTAGATATCACAAATCATATTGTGGGACCCATTTCTATCAGTTATCTAAAAAGAAACTTGCTTGTTTTTTAGTGACTGAGCCCCCAGCATTTAAAACAGGAGAGAAGGAGGCCAAGGTTATTGTTCCAGCAGCTGCAGCAAATAGTGAGGTTGGATTTTCTGTTACCATAGCTGCTGTTGACGAAGGTAAGTACTGATAGTGAGGTGAGCTTGTCTGTTACTATCCCTGCTGTAGATGAAGGTAAGCACTGATAGTGAGGTGAGCTTGTCTGGGCCATCCCTCCTGTAGATGAAGGTAAGTACTGATAGTGAGGTGGGCTTGTGTGTGACCATCCCTGCTGTAGATGAAAGTAATTACAGATAGTGAGGTGAGCTTGTCTGTGACCATCCCTGCTGTAGATGAAGTTAAGTACTGATAGTGAGGTTGGCTTGTGTGTGACCATCCCTGCTGTAGATGAAGGTAAGTACTGATAGTGAGGTGAGCTTGTCTGTTACCATCCCTGCTGTAGATGAAGGTAAGCACTGATAGTGAGGTGAGCTTGTCTGGGCCATCCCTGCTGTAGATGAAGGTAAGTACTGATAGTGAGGTGGGCTTGTCTGTGACCATCCCTGCTGTAGATGAAGGTAAGTACTGATAGTGAGGTTGGCTTGTGTGTGACCATCCCTGCTGTAGATGAAGGTAAGTACTGATAGTGAGGTGAGCTTGTCTGTGACCATCCCTGCTGTAGATGAAGTTAAGTACAGATAGTGAGGTTGGCTTGTGTGTGACAATCCCTGCTGTGGATGAAGGTAAGCACTGATAGTTAGGTGAGCTTGTCTGTGACCATCCCTGCTGTAGATGAAGTTAAGTACTGATAGTGAGGTTGGCTTGTGTGTGACCATCCCTGCTGTGGATGAAGGTAAGCACTGATAGTTAGGTGAGCTTGTCTGTGACCATCCCTGCTGTAGATGAAGGTAAGTACTGAAAGTTAGGTGAGCTTGTCTGTGATAATCCCTGCTGTAGATGAACACACACAAAATCACCGAAAACAAATTTTTTTTGTCCACAACAAATAAATTGTAAACTTAAAAAAAAAAAATTCAATAAACATTGTGGACAATGAATGCCTTTGTGAAATTGCAAGCTTATGCATGTTTTACTCTCTGTTAATTTGTTCTTCTTATAGTGACCACAACAACAACATTGACATTGGTACGACGAGGTACCTATGGAACACTGGAGATCATTTGGAAGGCTGGCTTTGTGCCAGGAAATCTTCCTAACAATTTTGTGGAGGGCACTGTCAACCCAGAGGAGGGTAGTGTTACTGTGGCACATGGGATCAGTTCAAAGAACTTCACAGTGCAGGTAGACAGGAGTTAGTTCCCTTGATAGTGTGGGAAAGAAGCAGGCAAAACATTCACTGATTCTTTCTAAATTAAGGGAAAGATGCATGATTGAATGATATTTATATTATTAATAATCCAGAACAAGATTTTTTTATACTTGAAAATCAATATTTCTCACTAGAAAAGTTGATTTTGAACTCGCAATAAATAGACATATCCTTAGGCTTATGTGATATTAGACTGATTTGAAGCAATTAACAAAAATTAAAATGTTTTCAGCTGACAGCTAAGCCGTCCCAGCCAGAGTTGTTCTCCCTACATCTTCCCCAGGCGCCCATCACTACCATTTCTGGTGGGGCTAGACTAGCACCCAACACTCGCCAAGTCCAGATAGAGCCCAATGGCATTGTACGGTTTGCTGCCAACTCCACCAATCCCAGCATTTCTGAGATGGAAGGAAAGGTAAGTTGTCAGTAAAGTTAATTATAATAGTCATTATCTGAAATTTAGGGATTTAATTGGGGTTTTTTTTTTTGGTATACCAGATGGACTAATAGGGTATGACTTGGTATATTTTTTTCAGATTTACTTAATGGTGCAAAGGTTGTATGGGTCAGAGGGCAAGTTAGAGGTCATCTATCGGTCAGAAGAGGTCACGGCTGATAAAGGCATTGACTTTATCACCATGGAGACTAATGCTGTAATGCTGGAGCCAGGTCAAACATCTGGCCTGATTGAAATCCGGGTGAGAGAATTGGTGTTGTTTCTATGTAATACAATGCATTTTGTGAGTTATATTGCTTATTGTAGAACTTCATCAATTAACTTTAGTTAGAAAATTGATTTGTTTCAATTAGAATTGAAATATTTATTCTAAACTTTAATAGGTTCTGCAAGATAATATTCCTGAGGAAGAGGAAACCTTGTACATTAATCTGACTCGAGTGGAGAAATATCCCACAGAAATAACACCACGTAAGTTATCCTGTTCCCTTTATCTGACTTGAGTGAAGAAATATTCCACAGAAATAACACCACGTAAGTTATCCTGTTCCCTTTATCTGACTTGAGTGGAGAAATATTCCACAGAAATAACACCACGTAAGTTATCCTGTTCCCTTTATCTGACTTGAGTGAAGAAATATTCCACAGAAATAACACCGCGTAAGTTATCCTGTTCCCTTTATCTGACTTGAGTGGAGAAATATTCCACAGAAATAACACCACGTAAGTTATCCTGTTCCCTTTATCTGACTTGAGTGGAGAAATATTCCACAGAAATAACACCACGTAAGTTATCCTGTTCCCTTTATCTGACTCGAGTGGAGAAATATCCCACAGAAATAACACCACGTAAGTTATCCTGTTCCCTTTATCTGACTTGAGTGAAGAAATATTCCACAGAAATAACACCACGTAAGTTATCCTGTTCCCTTTATCTGACTTGAGTGGAGAAATATTCCACAGAAATAACACCACGTAAGTTATCCTGTTCCCTTTATCTGACTTGAGTGGAGAAATATTCCACAGAAATAACACCACGTAAGTTATCCTGTTCCCTTTATCTGACTTGAGTGGAGAAATATTCCACAGAAATAACACCACGTAAGTTATCCTGTTCCCTTTATCTGACTCGAGTGGAGAAATATCCCACAGAAATAACACCATATTAGTTATGTTACCTTTATCAACATGCCAATATAATCATAATTCAAACTCAAATTCAATAAATAACAACAAGAAAATATCAACATGTCAACTTAATCATAATCCAAATTCAAATTCAATTAAAACTTGGGCAAAATATGTACAAAAGAAAGCTTTACATGGAGATTCCTGAAAAAGGACAAGGAGAATAAGACCAGGTGTTGCAGAAGAGTAAGCGTCTTCTACTTCATTGAGGACAACTGTCATGTAAATCTTGGTCAGTCTTAGTAACTGATGTCCCATTCTCAAATGAAAATAAGGTACACAACAACAGAACCCAGAGACAAACTCAGGAGCATCAATTAAATACCATATTTCTCAATGATAATGAAAAGTCTGAAACACTCACCAGTGTAAACATATATGACATCTTTTAAACAAGACTTTTGTGTTTAGGAATCTCACCTCGCCTGAGCTCCCTGTACACTAACTCTGTGGTCCGTATAGAGGAGAGCAATGATCCCTATGGTGTGCTCTGTATGGAACCCTCTGAAGTCAGTGTGGAAGAAGAGTACAGACAGGTCAACATCTCCATTGCCAGGACAGGTCAGTAGCATCCACTGGAACAAAGTATCCGGCATAACAGCATCCGTCCTCAGTAATGTCAGGAAAAATTCTCACCTGAATTTCATAAATAATCATACCTTTTGGTTGTGCACGTTTCTTAGTCATGTCCCCAGAATTATTTAACAGTTCAACATGAAATATTTATACTGATTGTTAAGTAATTATATTAAAAGTGAAAATCTTTTTCAGTAAATGTTGTATCAACAGTGACAAACTGAGATGCTTTGTATCTATGTTTGACAGGAGGTTTGTTTGGAACGGTGTCTGTGGTAGTACGAACAGTCGGAGGTGGAGAGATGTGGACCTCAATGATTGTTCCCTCACCTGGAGACACAAATGACACCATCCGACAGGTTTTGGGTAATCGTCATAGTTATAATGTAGCCCGTGGTGGTGAGGACTACGATGTTCTGGACACAAAGGTCACATTTCAGGTAAGTTCATACCAAACATTTAACTCAATGGCAAAGTCATACCTATGTAGCTAAACATTAAGGTAACATATTGCAAGCCGTTTTATCAGCTCACCCTTATAAAATTTAACACTGAGGTCACTCTACTGGGTAAAATTTTGAAGAAAAAGGATAGTATTAATTTTTTGAGATAAACCTTTTAATGATGTGAAAACTGTGTACTTGCCATCTAGCAAGGCCAGCAGACTGCTTATGTGTTGGTGACAGTGCTGGCAGACAATGCTGCAGAACCTGATGAGACTATCATAGTCTACCTCACACAGCCCACTGCCGGTGCAAGGATAGCAGAAGGGGCACCTGATGGAGGCAAAAAGGTACATATCACCCAGCCAATTTGATGTCTGTATCAAAAAAATGTTATTCCTTATAGAGATGTTATTACTGACAGTGTTTTAACAATTACGTGCAGCATTACATATACATTGTGTATATTATGTTAACAGAAACAATGTTTTGAAATTTCTGTCTTAGGGCTATTGTGTCATCACGTTGCTGCAGAATGACCTGTCCAATGGGGTCATTGGATTTGCAGAGAGTTCAAAGGTCATCAGGGTCAGTGAGGACACAGCTAATGTGGTGAACTTGCGACTAGCGAGGACCAATGCCTTCTATGGAGAAGTGGAGGTGCGGACATTGAGAAAAAACATTCCATGTAGCATCAACTTGAAATTTCCTTATGTTATTTTCAGTTTATATGTATAAGGTTTTTAATATCAGTAATGGTTTCTGTTGTTTTAGTATTACTATAATACAGAGGAAACCACTTAATATCAGGTTTGTTAATGTTACTTTCCAGTTAATATCACGTTTTTCCTGAATTCATGCCTTACTTCCTTACTAGCCAAATTTTGCACACCTAAGGACTACTAAACAGTAGATTGACCCACTTACCTGTAAGGTCAAGCTAGCTCCAGGGAAGTCTGGGTGCACCTCTTTTTTAATTGGCAGCACAATTTAAGTGTTAAAATTGGTTTTAAGCCCTTTGTCACTTGGAACTTGTTACAATAGGTAGGCCCATGTGTGAGTTGGTGCCATGCCACAAAGTCCAACGTGCTGCCAAAACTTCCTGGAAATAAGTCTTTGGTGTGCATACTGGAACCAATTTAAGACAACAAAGATTGTTCTTCTAAAGATATGATGAGAAAGCATTCAACCATAAACAGATGGTAGATTGGTTGTTTTGTTTCTTTGTACAGTGACCTATGGGACACCAAACCACAGCATGTCAATGTTGTCATTTCGAATGTCACTTTTTTAAAATTTACGTGAACACATTTCCGATACAATGATAAAGATGTTAAAATAACTTATTTGAATCTTAAGTTTCATGAAATGAAGTTTGTATTAATTGAATATATAAAATTCTCACATGTGCTCCCATGAAAAAAAAATCATCTTTTCCAAATGATTAGTTCAGGATACATAACATATGGGATGAAGATAGAAAATCCATTTGGTCATTATAACTGAATGTCAACATTTTCATATTTCGAATCATTTATTGCGTCGGTTATCATGAGCACTGGTAAGATGACTGTACAATGTTCTGAAACCAGGTTTCCCTTTGCCGTGTTTCATGACATCTGATTGGCCATTGAAAATAACCACTAATATAACAGCCAATGAAATGTGTTTCAAAGGTGAACGCTTCACACTTCACACTGGCTATTTTTGTCGGCAATGCTGGATGAAAAGTGATCTTCAGAACAGTGTAAACTGAATATGACATGATCATTCAGGAGGATTTATGATAATGGGGTGGATATTTCAGAGAATAAACAAACAAAAGTCAAGGAAAAACACTGTTTTAGGGGAAAAAGAAATCAAATTACAAATTTTTATCTTTAAACAATAAAACATGTCAGTTTGAGGCATCAGAAAGTTAACTTACAAGTGTAGATACTGGTAATGTCATATTCGGCTTATATCACCATTCCCCCTGACAAACAGAACATGATATTAAGTAGTTTCCTCTGTACATGCAAACAGTGATGCAGTGTTTCAGGTATCGATAAATCGTCATGCTTAATACTTTGATAAGCATTTGTTTGAAATGGATCAGAAGATTGTGTTTGTGTGTAACAAATGCTTACAGCGTTATATGTTGGTACATACAGGTGTCATGGGTGACCAAACTAGCCCTAAACAGTAGCGAAGCTGAGGATGCAATGTTAGCCAGTCAGCTGATGAGGACAGCTGGCACTGCCATATGTGCAGCCCGTGAAGCTTCCTGTCACTTTAATATCACTGTCAAAAATGACAATGTAAGTGTGACTGTTAGGTAGCATTGTATCTTTGTACATTATTGTTTGTCAGTTTCTCCATAAAAAATGTAAAACTTCTGAAACTTTCTTATCAAATTTGAAATGTGATTTAACCATCTAAAGTGGCAATGTCTTTAAGCAAAGTGTTTTGCAGAATTTGCCTCAAAATTTGTTTCATTGTCAGTGTTCAAAATATGGAGAACAATATTCTTGGAGGAGTGTAATTCAATGTTTTAGAATTATTATTTGCTGAATGTTAGTGTAGTATATTGCTATTAATAAGTGTGACGGTTGTAGATCTAAGCTGTAATCTGGCTTTAATTAATTCAAGATTGGTATTAATTTCATAGTACAATAAAAACCCTGAGAGTGACTGAATTTGTCAGTTAACCTTATGGTAACATATTCACAACCTTACCCTATTTCGATGGCATTCAGACCAGAGATGAACACCAAGGCTCAGCCTTACAGAAATATGAGTGTTCTACTCATTAAACAGCTTAACATGAGAAATTTGACTTATTTAACTTAATTCAAAATTAGAGAAATTCTATTTCTTATGAATTCCTGCTGACAAGAGATAAAAAATCAGTGCTTCAATAGTGCAAAACAGTTTAATTAGGAATACTCATTTCAGATAAAAAGATGTTATTAGATGGATCACTTTAATCATAGAGAAGGTGAATAGTATAACTCAGATTTAGTTACTGTTGATGATAGAAGATCCTGTTACAGATTCCAGAGGAGGCACACACTTTCATTATAAAGCTGGTCAGTGTCAGAAGAGATGCACAACTGGATAGCGGCAGTTTGGTCGCCACAGTAATGGTAGAATCAAGTGATTATGTACGAGGTCTACTACAGTTCACAGAAAATTCAAGGTCAGTTGAAAATCTCAAATTCAAAATAAAAATTATGAATATGCAAATGGTGATGATGATGATGTTGAGGATGATGATGATGATGTTAATGATGATGATGATGATAATGATGATAATTGTGATGATGATGTTAACAGATTGTTGACCGTTGGAGACACAAGCCGAACAGTACTTCTGAAGGTCGAACGAAAGATGGGCCAAGGTTACAGAGTACAGGTGGGCTATGAGACAATGCAGATGACATCCCAGGTAACAGAACATGGAGTGACTATTAACCCCGCCCTGGAGCAGGAGGACTACAGCAGTAAAGTAGGCATGCTGGTGTTTGAGGAGAACAGACAGGTAAGTTACATTAATTTACTGCTATTTTTGTCACTTTTACACCAATTACTATCTACCAGAAGGACGAAGGATTATTCAATGACAGAAATTTTGATTCGTCATAGCTAAATTATACTTTTCCATAAATTTACTCAGAATGTCTTCTAAGAAAACCTCAGCCAATGATGTAAGATTCATAAGGCACGACAAAAAAAATAAAAAAAAAGCAAAAAAAAAACAACTATAAGTATATAATCCAACAGTACATCTGAGGTAGCGTTTCTGTGTTAAGGTCACAAAGTAATGATTAGCCAGAAGTGTACAGTTATCCTCTGTGCTGATTATCCACACTTGTTCTATACACAGGATATAGAGACTGTTGAGATCAACCTAACACCAGCCATTCTCTCTAATAACCCTCTACCTAAACAGTTCTATGTGACACTGAAAAATCCCAGCAATGGTGCCAGGTAAGTGAACATGGTGTGGAATTTACAAATCATATCAGAGTTGTGAAGATTTTGTTTGTAAGAATTTCTGTACCAATATATCTGATTAATACACAACACTATGTCTAGACTTGAAAACATCTTTGCTTGATTTAAACTTAAGCTACCAATACATATTATAACTTTTTGTGTAATGAATCCTTTATTTTTATACTGATCATTGTTACAGTTAAAGTTTGAAGGAAATATCCTTTCTTAGTTTTTATAAAGTAACCTTTGTCCTTGAAGTATCCACTCTGATGTCACGTATTCGAGGGCAGCTGTGCGTATTGTAGAGGAAAAGAACTTACCAATCTGGATTGCCATCGGAGAACGAGAAAAAGCACCACACTTAAACGACTCGGAAATTCTCAGGTATTTCACGCATGTACTTGTTGAGGTCTATGAAACTTGTAGTTTTGCATCTATCAAAATCTTCAGAAAATCTTTTTTGTTACCAGTAGGAATTCAAATCACAGGTCGTGTGTTTAGAAATGTGGTCATGGAACCAATAGTGATGTTAGATAGATATGAGTTCAGTAGACTTGTAATAAAATAGCCATCGATATGAGTGAAGGTGATATTGAGTGGTAAATAGTGGTCTGTTAATATGACGTTTTGACTACTGGTTAGAGTTCTGCTGAAGTGGTATTTCGTTGAATATATAACTGGATGAGGAGTTTGTGTAATTGTGAGTCTTTGTCGATTGTAGGACATTGTCCCACCTAGACACAATTGCCAAGGTCGACATGGATATTACAGAGGTGACACTTGTAGAAAACATCCTCAGGGACTTCATTGAAGAAGGCCTCAAACGACCGTAAGAATATGTTTCAATCTTCCAAAACAACCAAAGGTTGCTCAAGACTCAAAATAAGGTTCTTTTCACAAAACTTCAGAAACATATTTGAAGTTGTTAACAAAATGAAGAATGATATTTAATTGGTATCTAACATAAGGAATACATAGTAACGGAAAAACAATGTTGATTTTCTCTGTTCAGTAAGAAGATTTGGCAGGGAAATAAGATTTTAGTAACTATAATGTTTCATACTATCCCAATTAATAGGGAGTAGTAATATTGTCAGAACTTTGATAGAGAAATAGCTTCATGACACGTCATTAGTCAAGTTGTGTGTAAAAAGGATTATTTTGAAGAATAATGTTTTAAAGAGAAAATCTGATATTAGATTACCTACAGAGATAATAAACCAGATCATGAATGTGATGTGTAACATGCTGAACCCATCTAAAAACGACGCCACCAGACGGCGCTCCTCCTTGGCAACATTGATGGAGAATTTAGCCTATACTACTCTGACTGGGAAACCATGTCCTAGTCCTGATCCTCCAGAGCTGTAAGTAGAATGTCACAGTTCATCTTCTTATTTCACTGTTAAATAAACAAGGCATTATTGCTTAAAGTGTCACTAAAATGCATACCCTGACTCTGATTCTTATTGAAATGTCAAAAATATAGATGTATACCCCCTTTTTATTCAAAAGAACAAAATAAATTTTTTTAAATGTAGCCCTTGTTAAACAATGACTGAATTTCCATCTGTTATTTCACAGCACAAGTTTACAGTGTGTTTATATGAGGATGTCAGCAGGACGATGGCCTCTAGAGAAAATCAACAATTTCCAATACCAAGCACAGTAAGTTCTCTATTTATAGTATATACATAATTCATTTGTATCCAAAATACAATCAAATCTTTATTGAATTCCCACAACAAAGGAAAGTGTACGAGCTGAGACATCAGCTTGTCTGTCCATGGATCATTATGGATAAAAGTTTTGTTTTTCTGTTTGAAAAATTAGTACCAAGAAAGTGCATATCAATTTTTTACAATAATTTAACTCTGATCTTGTTTGATATTGTTGAGCTTTCTCACTGTCCTATATAATGACATATTGTTGAGCTGTCACACTGTCCTATATAACGACATATTGTTGAGCTGTCTCACTGTCCTATATAACGACATATTGTTTAGCTGTCTCACTGTCCTATATGACATATTGTTAAGCTGTCTCACTGTCCTATATAACGACATATTGTTGAGCTGTCTCACAGTCCTATATAATGACATATTTTTGAGCTGTCTCACTGTCCTATATAACAACATATTGTTAAGCTGTCTCACAGTCCTATATAACGGCATATTGTTGAGCTGTCTCACAGTCCTATATATGAACATATTGTTGAGCTGTCTCACAGTCCTATATAACAACATATTGTTGAGCTGTCTCACAGTCCTATATAATGACATATTGTTGAGCTGTCTCACAGTCCTATATATGAACATATTGTTGAGCTGTCTCACAGTCCTATTTAACAACATATTGTTGAGCTGTCTCACTGTTCTATACAATGACATGTTTGCAGGAGATTGGATACATTCACTGTACCAGATGAAGTGGAAAACGCACCCATCCCTGCTGACATTGATGTAAGTTAGACTGCGTCTGTTGTGTCAACAATACCTGAGCATTTACCTGGTACTAGGACCTAACCAGGGCCCTACTGTATAATAACTACAGGTTGTATTTTTCTGTGGTAATTTTACATTCACTTATTGATTTCATACAGTTTCAAATATATTTGATTTCATGTTGAAGTGACAACTTTCCTTGGAGAATTTATATTATCAATAGACCCTGATAATCAAGTTGATAAAAGTTTGCATATAGAAGCTTAGATATATTTGTAAATTTTGTACAGTGTCTTGACTTTCACCTAATGGAGTATAGCAGTGAACAGTGGTTCATGAAAACTGAGGACCCAGAACTTCTAAGCAGCAAGGTGAGAACAAATTTCATTTTGCACTGCTTGCAGATTTCATGAATTTTCGTAACACTCATGTATTTGTATGCCTGTGTATAATTCATGTTTAGGAGATTTATGGTCCTTGAATAGCGATGTCTTTGGATGTCACGTTTTCAACCAATGTCATAAATTATACACATGTTCTGTACAAGAACTCCTGCTCCTGCAATGAATTTACAATTTTTTCTGTTTTTCTCCGTTATGTTTCCTGTAGACTTTCTGTATGGAAATTTTGTTAACAGTAGTGAAATGCACCTTCTTGATCAATATTTGTAAAACTTTACATGTATAATCAATATCCAAAGAGAGTTATGCCCTTTATCTCTTTTATTTTGTGTATTTTGGTTGGAGTTTGCTTTCTCTAATTTCTGTAGTACTGTACCTATTTTAATGGCGAATATTTAACGTTCATTAATTATGGTTTACAGTGTTCTGTTTCCTTACTACAGTCAAATATGGTCCTCTATACACAACACCATTCATCCTAATCATGTGGTATTTATCTAACACAGATAATTGGTTTTGGAATGAAAGGCAGACAATCATCATATTCTGAGTCTCCAGCAACCTATCGAATCCACACACCAGATAGACGAATTGCCACACGGAGGGCACAGTAAGTACTATAATGCCACACGGAGGGTACAGTAAGTACTACAATGCACACGGAGGGCACAGTAAGTACCACAATGCACACGGAGGGCACAGTAAGTACCACAATGCACAAGGAGGGCACAGTTAGTACCACATTGCACACGGAGGGCACAGTTAGTACTACAATGCACACGGAGGGCACAGTTAGTACTACAATACACACTGAGGGCACAGTAAGTACTACAATGCACACGGAGGGCACAGTAAGTACCACAATGCACACGGAGGACACAGTAAGTACCACAATGCACATGGAGGGCACAGTAAGTACCACAATGCACAAGGAGGGCACAATAAGTACCACAATGCCACATGGAGGGCACAGTAAGTACCACAATGCACACGGAGGGCACAGTAAGTACCACAATGCACAAGGAGGGCACAGTAAGTACCACAATGCCACATGGAGGGCACAGTAAGTACCGCAATGCACAAGGAGGGCACAGTAAGTACCACAATGCACACGGAGGGCACAGTAAGTACCACAATGCACACGGAGGGCACAGTAAGTACTACAATGCACACGGAGGGCACAGTAAGTACCACAATGCACACGGAGGGCACAGTAAGTACCACAATGCACAAGGAGGGTACAGTAAGTACCTCATTGCACACGGAGGGCACAGTAAGTACCGCAATGCACACGGAGGGCACAGTAAGTATCACAATGCATTTACATTTAGTAATTGAACTGAAAGTGTTTTTCTACAAAAATTATTGTTACAGATTCTACGTGTCATAATGTAGTGAATTAATTATTAGTTCATTATTTGGTGTTAGAAGAGTTGGGTAATCCATAGCAGGGAAATTGTTATTGCCAATATGGTACATGCTTGGCTGCACAACACTTACATGGTTCATGCAACAAGATGCACAGTTATTCTACAGAATTGCACCACCATTACTCAGTTTCTTTCTATTGTAGGGGGTGGGGGTGAACAATATTTGGGGTTCAAAGTTCAGGAAATTACTTATTACAATTGTATACAGTATAACAATTTATACAGTATATACCAGATACTAGCTTTACATATTACCACCTCAGCAGTGCACCCTTTGTATATCACCTTTATCATAAAACCTGTATAATGTCTGCAGGTGCTTGCATAATGTGTGCACCCAAAGTTTCAGTCATAAATGATCACCGAGAGCAAAGGAATTGGTGTCAGAGTGTTCAGCTAACACGTCAGACCAAAGAAGTCTTAAACCTGAAACTAGCGCTGTCATTATTGGGATATGTCTGCCATACATACTTTTGCTGTATTGGGCATTGACAGAAAATAGCTGTATTTTAGCACTCACCGTAATTCAAGGGGATTACTTTCTGAATTTACTTTAAAATTATGTTTAACAATATTAATAACTATTCAAATAAGCGATCTATTCACTCTAATGAACAATTTTATTTTTAGAAAATTTAGAAAATCTCTGTCTTATCGGTTGAAGTTTGGAACTATATTTCTGTACTGAGCTCACCACTTCTGTCATTCTTCACCCAAAATACAGGTTACTATATATTTTAAGACACTGACTGTGTATTCTCTATATACGTATCAAAGTACCACAGTATCTCAACAGACTATGATGTGTTTCCTCTCTAGATGTGTCTTCTATGACATGACAACAGCAGACTGGGTGAACCCTCAGGGTACAACATGTACAGTCACCAATAACCTAGAGTTGGCCACAGATGACTATGTTGATTGTTCCTGTAAACATCTCACCCACTACGCAGTCAAGGCCACCCCTCTGGATGCAGGACTCGTTGGTTACTCTGTCTGGTTCTTTGTTGTCTCATTCTTCGTCATGGTAAATATAATTAATTCTTTTTGTTTTGTTTTTTTGGTGTATACAATTAAGTTTTCAGAGGTCTTCAAATGCATTGGGACTCCAGTGGCATTTTAAGGGAAAGATGTGATAGGAATATAAATACTTAACAGTGATTTGTTGACCTCTGTCTGACAGGTTGCAATGGCCCTGACCATACTGGTCCATCACATTTGTGCGAATCTCCATGCCATGTTTTCAGCCAACCTGCTCGTGCACATGTGTTTTGCATGTTTTGCCACTCAGGTAAGGATCTTACCGTCCTTTTTCAAATACTACGACCTTCTCTTGTAATAAAAAAGGTAGCTACCTGTGTTTGTACTACAGAGATATGTTTTCTACCATTATACCTGTACTCTTAAGCAGAAGCTGAAATTATCTGATTATCTCCCTTTGTACCTTTGTTAAGTAGAAGCTACCTATATGAACACTTCAGAGACTCTGATGCACCATTTGATTATCTCCCTTTGTAGCTATGTCACATGGCAACAGTCTACACAAGCCTTACAGAGATTCTGGTTAACAATCTAGTTATCTCCCTTTGTAGTTATGTTATGTGGTAGCAGCCTACGTGAGCCCAACAGAGATTCTGGTTTACAACATTGGCCAGGACAACTATAGATGTATTGTGATGGGACTGTTCCTGCATTATTTCTTCCTGTCTCAGTTCACCTGGATCATGGCACAAGTAAGATTAATGATGAACAACTGTCATTACACATAGAATATTCTCAAATTATTGTCTTCAGACATACAAATTTGTATTTTATTTTTTGGTATAACAAACCAGTTACTAATAGGATAATGAGAAGATCAGGTAGTTCTCAATTGGCCTGAGGATCAGGTTTCATAAATTTGATATTACTATCAAAAACAATTGTGTCTTACATGGCAGTCAGTTTAGTGATGTTGGTTTGTTACAGGCGATCAACTTCTGGAAAATACTGGTGCTGAATGATGAACACACTGACAGAAAATATGTCCTGTTCTTCCTGATAGGATGGGGTATGTTAGAAATTATTATAATCACTGTGGATGCTAGGTCCTGAAGTCATGGTGATGTGACTTTACCAGAGTAAATACTGGTGTAGATAAAGATTTGAATTATTTCCTTTGACTTCAGATCAGCCTTAATGCCAAACTGATTTGTGTCATTTCAGTAAGAGATTTTGTTCTTGATTACTGTCAATCAGTTCAAACACAACAAGCACAATTATTCTAACTTTGAGATGCTTGTTTACTGTTGCAGGCCTACCTGTCGTGATTCTGGCTGTATTCTATGTGATCGCCTTCAACCTTTACAAATATGTGTACAATATGCCTGTGGATTTTATTTATGGGGACGTCAACAACAACGGTGAAATGTAGGTTTAAAGTTTTACTTATAATGATATTGTATGCAGTATAAACAGACAGCCTGTATTTAACATCAGAGTCTTTATTGGCCACTACAGGTTAATGCAATCAAAATGATTCAGTTCCAGTTGACCATAAAGAAAATTTGTTTGAAGGATTTCTTATGTGAAAAATGATAGGTTGTAAATGTATATTATGAAAGTGGATTAAAACATTTTCCATGTAAGATAATTTGAGGAGCAATAGTCAAATATTATTTATGTATTAAACACACAGTAATACTGTATTTTGACTTGCTGAAAGTCAGTTTCTGGAGACAATACTACCGACTTAGTTATAGTCTGATGTTTAAGATCTACTGATTGGTGCTGAGAATAAAACTCACTGTCCGAGATATAAGATGATACTTAAGACTTCCATGTACTGTTAGATGGTAGATACAAAATCATTGACCTAGATATAAGATGATACTTAAGACTTCCATGTACTGTTAGATGGTAGATACAAAATCACTGACCTAGATAAAAGATGATACTTAAGACTTTCATGTACTGTTAGATGGTAGAGATAAAATCACTGACCTAGATATAAGATGATACTTAAGACTTTGATTTACTGTTAGATGGTAGATACAAAATCACTGACCTAGATATAAGATGATACTTAAGACTTCCATGTACTGTTAGATGGTAGATACAAAATCACTGACCTAGATATAAGATGATACTTAAGACTTTTACTGTTAGATGGTAGAGACAAAATCACTGACCTAGATACTTAAGATACTGTTAGATGGTAGATACAAAATCACTGACCTAGATATAAGAAGACTTTGATGTACTGTTAGATGGTAGACTACAAAATCACTGACCTAGATAAAAGATGATACTTAAGATGTACTGTTAGATGGTAGATACAAAATCACTGACCTAGATATAAGATGATACTTAAGACTTTGATTTACTGTTAGATGGTAGATACAAAATCACTGACCCTAGATACAAAATTTAAGATGATACTTAAGACTTTCATGTACTGTTAGATGGTAGATACAAAACTGTTAGATGGTAGAGACAAAATCACTCACTGACCTAGATATAAGATGATACTTAAGACTTTCATGTACTGTTAGATGGTAGATACAAAATCACTGACCTAGATATAAGATGATACTTAAGACTTTGATTTACTGTTAGATGGTAGATACAAAATCACTGACCTAGATATAAGATGATACTTAAGACTTTGATTTACTGTTAGATGGTAGATACAAAATCACTGACCTAGATAAAAGATGATACTTAAGACTTTCATGTACTGTTAGATGGTAGATACAAAATCACTGACCTAGATATAAGATGATACTTAAGACTTTCATGTACTGTTAGATGGTAGATACAAAATCACTGACCTAGATAAAAGATGATACTTAAGACTTTGATTTACTGTTAGATGGTAGATACAAAATCACTGACCTAGATATAAGATGATACTTAAGACTATCATGTACTGTTAGATGGTAGATACAAAATCACTGACCTAGATAAAAGATGATACTTAAGACTTTGATTTACTGTTAGATGGTAGATACAAAATCACTGACCTAGATATAAGATGATACTTAAGACTTTCATGTACTGTTAGATGGTAGATACAAAATCACTGACCTAGATAAAAGATGATACTTAAGACTTTGATTTACTGTTAGATGGTAGATACAAAATCACTGACCTAGATATAAGATAGATACAAAATCACTACTTAAGACTATCATGTACTGTTAGATGGTAGATACAAAATCACTAACCTAGATAAAAGATGATACTTAAGACTTTGAATTACTGTTAGATGGTAGATACAAAATCACTGACCTAGATATAAGATGATACTTAAGACTTTCATGTACTGTTAGATGGTAGAGACAAAATCACTGACCTAGATATAAGATGATGCTAAAGACTTTGATTTACTGTTAGATGGTAGATACAAAATCACTGACCTAGATATAAGATGATACTTAAGACTTTCATGTACTGTTAGATGGTAGAGACAAAATCACTGACCTAGATATAAGATGATATTTAAGACTTTCATGTACTGTTAGATGGTAGAGACAAAATCACTGACCTAGATATAAGATGATGCTAAAGACTTTGATTTACTGTTAGATGGTAGAGATAAAATCACTGACCTAGATATAAGATGATACTTAAGACTTTCATGTACTGTTAGATGGTAGATACAAAATCACTGACCTAGATAAAAGATGATACTTAAGACTTCCATGTACTGTTAGATGGTAGAGATAAAATCACTGACCTAGATATAAGATGATACTTAAGACTTTCATGTACTGTTAGATGGTAGAGATAAAATCACTGACCTAGATATAAGATGATACTTAAGACTTTCATGTACTGTTAGATGGTAGATACAAAATCACTGACCTAGATAAAAGATGATACTTAAGACTTCCATGTACTGTTAGATGGTAGAGATAAAATCACTGACCTAGATATAAGATGATACTTAAGACTTTCATGTACTGTTAGATGGTAGATACAAAATCACTGACCTAGATATAAGATGATGTTAAAGACTTTGATTTACTGTTAGATGGTAGATACAAAATCACTGACCTAGATATAAGATGATGCTAAAGACTTTGATTTACTGTTAGATGGCAGATACAAAATCACTGACCTAGATATAAGATGATACTTAAGACTTTTACTGTTAGATGGTAGAGACAAAATCACTGACCTAGATATAAGATGATGTTAAAGACTTTGATCTACTGTTTGGTGCTGGGAACAAAATCACTGACCTAGATATAAGATGATGCTAAAGACTTTCATCTACTGTTAGATGCTGTTGACAAAATCACTGACCTAGATATAAGATGATGCTAAAGACTTTGATTTACTGTTAGATGGTAGAGACAAAATCACTGACCTAGATATAAGATGATACTTAAGACTTTCATGTACTGTTAGATGGTAGATACAAAATCACTGACCTAGATATAAGATGATGTTAAAGACTTTGATTTACTGTTAGATGGTAGATACAAAATCACTGACCTAGATATAAGATGATGCTAAAGACTTTGATTTACTGTTAGATGGTAGATACAAAATCACTGACCTAGATATAAGATGATGCTAAAGACTTTGATTTACTGTTAGATGGTAGATACAAAATCACTGACCTAGATATAAGATGATACTTAAGACTTTTACTGTTAGATGGTAGAGACAAAATCACTGACCTAGATATAAGATGATGTTAAAGACTCTGATTTACTGTTAGATGGTATATACAAAATCACTGACCTAGATATAAGATGATACTTAAGACTTTCATGTACTGTTAGATGGTAGATACAAAATCACTGACCTAGATATAAGATGATGTTAAAGACTTTGATTTACTGTTAGATGGTAGATACAAAATCACTGACCTAGATGTAAGATGATGCTAAAGACTTTTATGTACTGTTAGATGGTAGATACATAATCACTGACCTAGATATAAGATGATACTTAAGACTTCCATGTACTGTTAGATGGTAGAGACAAAATCACTGACCTAGATATAAGATGATACTTCAGACTTTCATGTACTGTTAGATGGTAGATACAAAATCACTGACCTAGATATAAGATGATGCTAAAGACTTTGATTTACTGTTAGATGGTATATACAAAATCACTGACCTAGATATAAGATGATACTTTAGACTTTCATGTACTGTTAGATGCTGTTGACAAAATCACTGACCTAGATATAAGATGATACTTAAGACTTTCATGTACTGTAAGATGGTATATACAAAATCACTGACCTAGATATAAGATGATGCTAAAGCTTTTGATCTACTGTTGGTGCTGGAGATAAGACTATGGAATATGTATAGAATGTTAGGTGCTCTGGACAGCATTTCTAATATGTACAATGTATCTACAGGTGTTTCATCACCAACCCGTATGCAGCACTTGGGGGCGTAATTCTACCTGTGCTGCTGATGCTGTTAGTGGTGGGTGTGGTCTTTGTCAAGGCTTTCCAGGTCACTCCTCAATGGCAGGCCTATGATGACATTTACAGAGGACGGTATAACATCAATGGTGAGTCATATTGGTATATTTAGACAAGGTCCAGAAGCTGATTTAAGATAATAGCGAGTCATATTACTTCTAGGAATTTGTGTTATGAAATTTACAAAAGCCAATATGACATAAATAGCGAGTCATTTACATGTAGAGGAATTTAAGGTCCAGAATGTAGATCATCATTTACTGGTGTAGAAGTTTAAAGTAACAGTTTAGTGATACCTGTATGTTGTTGAGTGTTGTCAAGTCTCTAGGCTGAACACAATTTTACTGTGATCCTTTGATGAATACGCAGATCACCGTTTCAGTTTACCTTTAGATAAGGAATGCTTAGTATACATCAGTAAATATGATACACATCAGTAAATATGATAACACATTAAGTAAATATGATGACACATCAGTAAATATGGTGACACATTACCATACAAATGAAGTGTTGCTTCAGCTCTCTTCTCTACAAAGGCTGTATGAATGTTTACAGAGATACGAACACTGCTGTCATTCTGGGCCGTGATCGCACTGACCTGGCTGTGGGGAGGCCTACACATGGCATACGGACAACTATGGATGCTTGTCATGTTCTGTATATTTAATTTACTACAGGTGAGACAATAAGAAATTTGATGTTGTCATGTTCTGTATATTTAATTTACTACAGGTGAGACAATAAGAAATTTGATGTTGTCATGTTCTGTATATTTAATTTACTACAGGTGAGACAATAAGAAATTTGATGTTGTCATGTTCTGTATATTTAATTTACTACAGGTGAGACAATAAGAAATTTGATGTTGTCATGTTCTGTATATTTAATTTACTACAGGTGAGACAATAAGAAATTTGATGTTGTCATGTTCTGTATATTTAATTTACTACAGGTGAGACAATAAGAAATTTGATGTTGTCATGTTCTGTATATTTAATTTACTACAGGTGAGACAATAAGAAATTTGATGTTGTCATGTTCTGTATATTTAATTTACTACAGGTGAGACAATTAGAAATTTGATGTTGTCATGTTTAAATACAGATTATGTCAGAAAGTCAGATTTAAGGTGGTGATATCAGTGATTTCATGCTATAGGAAGACTTGTTCAGAATCATTTCACAGAATACAGCTGTTATAGCTTGCTTTTCTTGTAATGAAAACAGGTCTTTACTTATTGAATATTCTTCACACTTATCTATATGGATTTCTTGTCCTGAACACCACACTGTTACCATGGTGAGGTAGATATTATTGTGTACACCACACTGTTACCATCGTCAAGTAAATATCATTGTGTAACCTACACCACACTGTTACCATGGTGAGGTAGATATTATTGTGTACACCACACTGTTACCATGGTGAGGTAGATATTATTGTGTACACCACACTGTTACCATCGTCAAGTAAATATCATTGTGTAACCTACACCACACTGTTACCATGGTGAGGTAGATATTACTGTGTAACCTACACCACACTGTTACCATGGTGAGGTAGATATTATTGTGTACACCACACTGTTACCATCGTCAAGTAAATATCATTGTGTAACCTACACCACACTGTTACCATGGTGAGGTAGATATTACTGTGTACACCACACTGTTACCATGGTGAAGTAGATATTACTGTGTAACCTACACCACACTGTTACCATGGTGAGGTAGATATTATTGTGTACACCACACTGTTACCATGGTGAAGTAGATATTACTGTGTAACCTACACCACACTGTTACCATGGTGAGGTAGATATTACTGTGTACACCACACTGTTACCATGGTGAAGTCAATATTATTGTGTAACCTACACCACACTGTTACCATGGTGAAGTCAATATTACTGTGTAATGTTTGTTACAGGGACTTCTAGCACTAGTTCTGTACACCATACTACGTAACCCCTGTGTACAGCAATGTTTTGGGCCACAAAAGCAGCTATATTCCATCTCAGCTGATGCTAACACTGGTACTATGTCTGGTGGAGATGATATCCGCCATCACATGGCTTCTGTAGAGATCGGCAGCCTGAAGGGATCCAGGGCTTCTCTATTAAATGAGGTAAAGTAAATGCCCTAGGGTATTGTGGGGAAAATTGACGCCATAGGGTAATGTGGGAAACAATCCTGCAGAATATTTTTCGCCCATGTATGAATGTATGAGTTTTGACATCAAACGTTGGCTCACTTTTTTTTTTCTCCTTACCACTTAAGGATGAAACAACTGAAAGTTAAAGTAAAACTGCAACCAAAGTTTTCAGGTAAACTGTATGACTGTATATAGATACTGTTGTTGAATGTCCATATCTCCTGTTTTCTCAGAGCTGGGAGCGTGACTCCATTCCATTCAAGAGTACGATGAAGGTGAAACGCCAACTGGCATCTAGTGGGAACATTTATGTGACACCACCTGTCCTGGTACAGTCGACAGAAGGGGACACTGATAAAGACTTTGATGACTTGCTCTATGCATTAAAGACTGATGGCAGTTACACTGCTAGTGATGTCAACAGTCTGGACTCTGACAAAATATCAGAAATATCCAGTAAAGTAGATAAATATGAAATGCGAAGAATATCCATTGCAGATACACATTTATGAATTTCATTTAATATTTTGTATAACTTGTATGTTGAGGAATTAATATCTTTTATGGTCAAAATATCAAAAGTTTGCTTGAAACTAGTCTGATTTTGTGCAATATTAACTCAGTTTTCAAATTATCATGATATTTAAGGTGTCGCAAGTCAATCCTGCATTGGCTGGTTTTAAAGTACATAAAAATTCAGCTGCTTTCATTAAAGCAAGTGATCTCAAATATATTCCATCATTTTCCTTTTTTTAGTCAACTCATTTTATTGAAGGCTAAAACCAAAGTTAAAATGAAGTTAAATTCCTGAAGGTGGTCAGTTCTACGATAAAATGTACAAGTAGGAATAAGGCATTAGAGAGAAAATAGAATACCTGGTAGTTTAAACAGTAATAGATTGTATTGTATGGACTGGTTAACTGGTAAATCATTTAGTCCAACATCTTTAGTAACCAGCAGTCCAACACTTTTAAGCTTAATGTGATATATGTTTAGTGTGATATGTGGTGCAGTATTTTAAATTATTGTGTTTTTGTTTCATGCCATATTTTGCAAAAAATGAAGTAGACCATGTTTGATATTCATTTAATTTATTTGGCAAATATTGCAATAGACCAACAGTAGATATATATATATCAGGGTAGACCTGATTATGTTCTTTAGCTATTAAATTGTGGCTGCATAATTTTAAATTGAACACAGGACATAGTTTCAAGATTTATGCAATATATTTTCAATGTTACAACCATTCACACAACACATGTTATGTCAAAACTTGTTAAGGATATGTACCATGTTGTTTGTATATATTGGGTTTTATAACTATTATTTCACAATGTCAGCTGTATATTGTCTCTACATTGTCATTTATATTCTTCATACATCATTATTTTGATGCTCAATATATACAATATTGTCAAAAATTTACAATAAAATTTCTATAAAGAGAACCTGTATTAACTGTATAAATTAATCATACATCAATCACAAACAACCGGACTATAACAGAGATAATATCACAGACTTAACCTTAAGCACTGTAAACTCAGCTGGTTTGTCACATAAATAGCACTACAGTATACAGCACCTCGGGTCTATTCCATCAACCACATCTTGCAGCTTTCCAACATGGCACCTCTTCTGGATCTGCTTATCAATGTAATTTCAACATCCCACACTCAAAGTCTCTTTCGTCATAGAGGAATGTTTTAACATCTTTGTGCTCACAGCTACAAAGAGAGAAAAAAATTGAAACTAGACATTTAAAAACTTGACAACAATCTTCATGCATTAAGTTAGAAGTTAACAACAAGAGAGATTCTGAAGGATCTTTGTGTAAACCATTATATGACAATCATTGTTTCTTTATCAGCAAGATCTTTTCCCTTCTTTGCTCTTATTTTTTTTTTCTCTGACACTCCTAAAAATTGATCCTGCATAAAGATGAACCATGGGAAACCAACATAAAATTGTAGAACAATTGGTCCTGCCCTTTCCAAGAAATAACAGAAAAATGGCTGCTGCCATTTTGTTTTCCTTGTCAGAAAATTAAACATGCTACAACAGGTCATGGAAAACCTACAAAAAAACTTTGAAAATAATCAACAAGCACTTCTCTACTGATGAGAACATACATCAATGGTGGTGGGCTATATGTACAGATGTATAGATATACAAGTGTGAAATTCCTTAGTTTATCTGCCTAAGTAACAGCTGTACAAGAACCACAGGGGAGGACTGGTTATGGTTTCTAAGGCATGGAAATATATTTCATTACATATGTTTAATTAAAGCTTACCAATACCTACACCAGTACAATGGAACAAATTAATATCATATCCCACTAAAAAGATATGAAGTGTGAATATCTGATGAAAACCGGTGTCTTTTGCTGGTAAGTTTTATCAGATATTTATACTGAAGTGGCCCTACCTTTGACGTAGCAGACTTCTGCATCTACTCCTAGGGTTATCAGGTAGCTCAGCCACAGAATCTGTTTATGAGAGAGGCGATCTCCTGGACCCTTCACTTCACAGATCTGAAAATAGGCATGTACATTTTACAGGAGATTAATGAAGTATGTTAATTTTATGATTACACATATTATCAAATTATTTCATGATTTGAGGTTCGTTAATGACAGAGAATTTGTATGCAAACTATCTACATAACCAAAATATGATTTCATATCTGGAAACAAGAATTCCTGGAAACACATGTCATCCCTGATTTAACTATAAAACAACATAAAACCAAAATACATGAAATCCCATCATAAATGTTCTCATTTCATAGCTAAATAGCATTATTTTATATTTCAAATTGCATTTATTTAATAATATTGAAAGTATTTAAATAAAATAAGACCTTAAGTACTCTGCTGCCACAATTCAAAGTTAAACTAACTAGGAAACCTCTGATTGGTCCATCGGTCTTAATCCCAGTGGACAGAATGGATTATTGATTTAAAGGTGTAAAGCTCTTCTGTGATGACAAGTTTGCATTTTACTTAGAGTTAAAACTTTCAGACTAACACAAAACGATCACCAATCAAGTTGGCTTTCAGACACACAGGATAAGTCATTAATCCACATGTATTACAGCAAGCAAAACAGAACTTGAACCAACCTTGACAGTTTTATTACTAGTATTCCACAGCGTCAGATCGGGAAATCCACCTCTGGTCTGACGAGGGTTACAGGCATATCTCTCCAGGATACCAGCGATCACCTTCCCTCCAAAACATGACACTAGGCCCTGTGGGCAAAGCAGATTCAGCTCACAAACTACACACACCACATTGTTGATGATATTTACATTAATTATGTTAAGACCTGAACAATCAAAATTGTCTGGTAAAACAACAAGATGGATTCAATGCAAACCAGGGAAATACAGGATTATATAGTACATGACTTTTTGATAGATTTTTACACTTAATGCAGAAAACACTGAATCTTTTCCTAGTTGACTGTATGCTTTATCATTAACAAGAATTCCACAGAAGCTGATGTGTTGCCTTCCCAGCAAGGTTTGTGGAGAAGAGTTTTATGGAACAATAGCCATAGATATTCATTGTATTTAGTCCATTAATATAATTTGTTTGTTTGTTTGAGATGTGATAAGTTAACTTGTAGATTAGATGTATAGTGTTGTAGGGAACTGAAACCCGAGGATAGATTCGTATATCAAAATTACGCGAAGAAATAGAATTCAAAAAAAAAATACTGATTTGTTCCAAATACGGCAGGAGCAGTGGCAACCCACCCCAAGCAAGACCCTTTGGAAAGGAAGCATAGTATGAAGTTTGAGTCTAATTGTCCAAAGAAAAACCAAGTTCTAGCATGAAAAACAATTTCCTATATATGGTAACACTGTCCTTGACCTTCAGATCTCTATAGCAATCCAAAACAAGCACTTTCTGTAAGGAAGCACTATTTGAAGTTTGATTTTGATCGGCCAAAGGGAACTGAAGTTATGAAAAAACAATTTACTATTTGTAATAACAATGACCTTGACCTTTGACCTTTTGACATCAATAGCAATCCCAAGCAAGCACTTTTGGTAAGGAAGCACTGTATGAGGTTTGAGGTAGATTGGCCAAAGTGTACTGTGAAAAAAACAATTTACTATTTACAGTAACGGTGAACTCAAGTTATTGCATAAAAAACCTTTGTGCGGATGACAGTGCCGCCACCGACAGAGTAATACCTACGAGGGGTATATGTTGCCTTTGGCAGGTGACACAAAAAAATGATAAAGTACAAGATAGATATCAGAGATACTTGTGACCAATATCTTGCTACTGAAATAACAATGCCAAAATCTTAAGTTTCTTGGCTATACTGTGGACAGACAGCTCTCCTACCTTTACATGGTCAACACCTGAGAAACGGTCCCAGTTCATGCCACCCGACTCTCCCTCATGGTGTTCCCAGACATCAGAAACCATCTGGTGTAGCTCCTGGAAAAATACATCAATATCTGGTCACTTAATGGTCAATAGTACCATAATGAAAGCCACTCATATTTCCTTATGATTTAAAGCTCTTCGGAAGCAAAGCCAACTTTCATTCCATTTTAATAAAAGCAGTAAAAATTACTTAATACAATATTTGATTTTTCATGAAAACCATGAAATGAAGAATCTGTGGAAAATAACGTTTGCAGAATTAAGGAAAAGATAATCAAAATCAAGAAACATCCTGATTGCAAACTGCATGTAATATGGCACCATCAATGATTTGTTAAGCAAACATCAATACTTAATGATGACTACTGTAAAGTAAATGGTACAAATACCTCCTCTGAACTTCGCTTTAGTTTTTCCAATCGTTTATCAATCATGTGCTGACGACTGGCATAAAAATGATCACTGTGAAGGTCTAGTGGCATACTCTGATAGGCAGAGTGGAAGGCATCGGGAATGTCACAATAGATCACGTCCCAGAAAAACAGCATAAACAGACTGCTAACAGTACCTCCTTCTGCATGTAAACCTGACAAAAGGAATGATGTTTTACACTGTATAATTATGTTCTTTATTCAGAGGTCAGTTTCATACTTTCAAATCCAAACGTATTCAGTTCAGTCACTAGAATTACTATGTGTAGGGTGAGGTACCAACCATGAATATCAGATTTTGTGAAAATAGTCTGGGCAATAACCAGTAGACAGCAGAAACATGGATAATTTCAGTAGAACTTAACTCTGTAGCAGGATAATACAGACATTCTTTTCTCTGTGTCCTTGCTTGACCTTTAGATTAATTACAATACATAGGTATGGTTGTATCTCAATGTATCAATTGTTATTCAATACCAGAAGGGATCTTGGCACTTCTCGAGATAGAGTGATAGTACTTACCATCTGTATAGCCATTCTGAAGGTAGTGTTCCAGTACAAGCTGTTCTACACCACAAAATGTCAGGTTGTCTGGGTCCTCTGAACCTGGTGTAGACATCAGGAAGCGAAACCTTGCTCCCGGAACATTGTCTGGTAACACTTTACCATCCAGAAACACCTGCACAACAAAAAATCAAATTTACATAACATCAGTATTCCAGGCATACCTCCGATATAGAATAATCACGTTAACACAGGATTGGCAATCCAAATTATACTTAAGTTTAGATTCTGAGAGTAATTAGAATTAATCTTTGAAAAGAGTAAAACCTCATCCAAAAAATAAAATATTTCTAGATATATAAACATCAGGTTAAATTTCAATTTTCCAAGGCATCAAAAAAATAAAATATTTCTAGATATATAAACATCAGGTTAAATTTCAATTTTCCAAGGCATCAAAAAAATAAAATATTTCTAGATATATAAACATCAGGTTAAATTTCAATTTTCCAAGGCATCAAAAAAATAAAATATTTCTAGATATATAAACATCAGGTTAAATTTCAATTTTCCATGGCATCAAAAAAATAAAATATTTCTAGATATATAAACATCAGGTTAAATTTCAATTTTCCATGGCATCAAAAAAATAAAATATTTCTAGATATATAAACATCAGGTTAAATTTCAATTTTCCAAGGCATCAAAAAAATAAAATATTTCTAGATATATAAACATCAGGTTAAATTTCAATTTTCCATGGCATCAAAAAAATAAAATATTTCTAGATATATAAACATCAGGTTAAATTTCAATTTTCCATGGCATCAAAAAAATAAAATATTTCTAGATATATAAACATCAGGTTAAATTTCAATTTTCCATGGCATCAAAAAAATAAAATATTTCTAGATATATAAACATCAGGTTAAATTTCAATTTTCCATGGCATCAAAAAAATAAAATATTTCTAGATATATAAACATCAGGTTAAATTTCAATTTTCCAAGGCATCAAAAAAATAAAATATTTCTAGATATATAAACATCAGGTTAAATTTCAATTTTCCAAGGCATCAAAAAAATAAAATATTTCTAGATATATAAACATCAGGTTAAATTTCAATTTTCCATGGCATCAAAAAAATAAAATATTTCTAGATATATAAACATCAGGTTAAATTTCAATTTTCCATGGCATCAAAAAAATAAAATATTTCTAGATATATAAACATCAGGTTAAATTTCAATTTTCCAAGGCATCAAAAAAATAAAATATTTCTAGATATATAAACATCAGGTTAAATTTCAATTTTCCAAGGCATCAAAAAAATAAAATATTTCTAGATATATAAACATCAGGTTAAATTTCAATTTTCCAAGGCATCAAAAAAATAAAATATTTCTAGATATATAAACATCAGGTTAAATTTCAATTTTCCATGGCATCAAAAAAATAAAATATTTCTAGATATATAAACATCAGGTTAAATTTCAATTTTCCATGGCATCAAAAAAATAAAATATTTCTAGATATATAAACATCAGGTTAAATTTCAATTTTCCATGGCATCAAAAAAATAAAATATTTCTAGATATATAAACATCAGGTTAAATTTCAATTTTCCATGGCATCAAAAAAATAAAATATTTCTAGATATATAAACATCAGGTTAAATTTCAATTTTCCAAGGCATCAAAAAAATAAAATATTTCTAGATATATAAACATCAGGTTAAATTTCAATTTTCCAAGGCATCAAAAAAATAAAATATTTCTAGATATATAAACATCAGGTTAAATTTCAATTTTCCATGGCATCAAAAAAATAAAATATTTCTAGATATATAAACATCAGGTTAAATTTCAATTTTCCATGGCATCAAAAAAATAAAATATTTCTAGATATATAAACATCAGGTTAAATTTCAATTTTCCAAGGCATCAAAAAAATAAAATATTTCTAGATATATAAACATCAGGTTAAATTTCAATTTTCCAAGGCATCAAAAAAATAAAATATTTCTAGATATATAAACATCAGGTTAAATTTCAATTTTCCAAGGCATCAAAAAAATAAAATATTTCTAGATATATAAACATCAGGTTAAATTTCAATTTTCCAAGGCATCAAAAAAATAAAATATTTCTAGATATATAAACATCAGGTTAAATTTCAATTTTCCATGGCTTGATGCAGCTTTATTTTTTAATAATTCAGAACTTTATAAACACACATCAGAAAAGTAAGAAAAATAACTTTATTCTTTTGTCAGAAAATCAGTTATTATAAGTCGTTGTGATACAAGATCAAATTTGTTCTCCTTTACATTAGAAATACCCAAATCTCTATTTGTTCTATACCTCAGGGAATTCCACGACTGGTTCATGGTGAAAGGTGACAAGCTGTTCTTTAAATTTTGACTTGGGAGCAGAGCAGATTTTCTCTGCCCTTTGAAACAAAGCCAATCTGTGTCCTGTTTTGACATACTTGTCTTCGAGGCCTTCCTTAACACACTTCAGCGTCTGAGTCGAGAAGGGAGATATTGTTAAGTACTATGCAGTAAGTTTTATAAAATCATTGTACATAAACTAATGACTTTAAAAATGAATACGATACATAAATAAACGAATGAAGTTACTTGCTAATGACTTGACCTTGGACTTCTGAAAAAAATGAATACGATATTGGCTTACATGATGGAATTGGGATGTGATGTGACACAACATGGCAGGATAGAACATATATGTGGAATTTGTCTATATGCTCCCCCCACTCTCCCAAATCACAGACAATAACTTTTTTGAGATGCTCGTACCTTAGCTGGCTGTTTGAGGTGAGCATCATAGTTCAGAGCAAGGCGTTCCCACCAGTGGCCACGGTAAGTGACACAGTACATGTGTTGACTCAGCAGTTTCTCCAGGAGTCGGACTGCTTGTGTGTAGTCCTTCCGGCGCTGTAGTACCTCTACTCCCTGATTCATCACCCTCACAAACACCCCACATGCTGTGTAGGACCGCAGAAAATCTGGCAGATTTTGATCATGTCTGTTACAACAAAACAGAACACATTAAGTTCTCACTGTAGCAGAGAAATGACTATTTTTGAAGAAAAGTTTTTATTTTTAATAAAAAATAATTGGTATGAATACAAGGTTGAGAAGACAACAGTCTACCAGAAACAACTCCTCTCTCTCTCCCTTCCTCCCACTCTCCCTCTTTCTCTCTCGCTCTCTCTCTCTCTCTCTTTTTCTCTCTCTATAAGGTTGGGAGGCATGACAACTTACTTTACAACAGTGGGATCCTGTGTCAGTTTGTCATACTCTGCGTATGCTGACTGGTAGATATTGAACGCATGATCAAAGTCTTTCTTCTCTATCTTGGTGAGAATGTCACACTCCATTGTCACAGCATTTGTAAAGCTGAAATGAACATACCAAACAGCAATGAAGATGAATTTATCATTGTGATACAAATTTTTCAGACTTGCAAACTGTTTAATTTTCAATATTAAAGAAATCCTGAGCTTTCTATCAATACAATAACAATAGTGTAACTCTAACATTAATAGTCAATATGTTTGCAGCAACTCTTCTGAATACTCCTGATATGTGAACACCCAAAAATAAATCCCTCACCAAAAATTCACTTGATGTGACAAAAGTATCCCTGTCCTCAAATATAGCACTGTTCTTATAAGTTCTGTACAAAGTTGCTGTTACCTGAGGAAAGTATCCCTGTCCCCAAATATTGCAGTGTTCTTGTACATTCTGTACAAAGTTGTTGTTACCTGAGGAAAGTATCCCTGTCCCCAAATATGGCAGTGTTCTTTTAAGTTCTGGACAAAGTTGCTGTTACCTGAGGAGAGTATCCCTGTCCTCAAATATGGCAGTGTTCTTATAAGTTCTGTACAAAGTTGCTGTTACCTGAGGAAAGTATCCCTGTCCCCAAATATTGCAGTGTTCTTGTACATTCTGTACAAAGTTGTTGTTACCTGAGGAAAGTATCCCTGTCCCCAAATATGGCAGTGTTCTTGTACGTTCTGTACAAAGTTGCTGTTACCTGAGGAAAGTATCCCTGTTACCAAATATAGAAATGCTCTTGTACGTTCTGTACAAAGTTGTTTTTACCTGAGGAAAGTATCCCTGTCCCCAAATATGGCAGTGCTCTTGTTTACTGTATAAGCCGGATACACCACTTTTCCTATGTTTACTTGCAGCATCTGAAACCTATATAATTCCCAGTATATTACTCATTCATCAAACTTGAAATATCTCCAAGTATCAGTCAGCTTTGGAAATAATAAAACAACGATAAACTGGCAACAACTGATTATCTTATACTTAAGGCAGCATGTCCTACTACTCAGTATTGCACCTCCTAGGAAGAAGAGTTCTTATATATGGTCTTGTTCTGCTTTGGAGTGATCTGTAGTTAAAAGTACCTGTGGTATTATTTTTTATAATCAGTGGTTTGTAAATTGACAAGCTGTTGTAAGAACATAAAATTCAAGTGAGAATTGTCTCATTATTGTCTCAATTGTCTGATATAAGCACAAAAATAATAGATTTCAGAACATTTTTTGCTTTATTTTCAACAAGAAAAGCAGGTTCGTAAAAAATTATTATCATTTCACAAGAAATATGGATACTGTTTTTATATAACATTTATCACTCAATCTGATGAACACTTCATAAGTACAATATTAAGCTCCATAATGTAATTCTACCATGTGGCAACCAGCTGAATACAACAGAATACTCGGGCATGCTGGACCTTTTCATAATAAGTTTTTCTTTCATTGTTATGTCTAGTACATTAATTGAGGAAGGGTGTACCGAACCACAGGGATAACAGCTATGGAGTGACCTTGACAATTGAACTTTCTACTCGAAAATCTTTCCGAAGTATGCATCCCCAATAAAGGTTAGTGTGAAGTATGAATTGTCTACAGGAACTTGAGCTATTATCCAGAAATGGTGATGTAAACAGATGTATGGCATGACCGACTGGTAACAGCATTCCAAAATCTCATTCCAATCTTTGATTGGGGGTATAATAAAACTACATAGATCCCTGTTGTGTACCTGTAAAGCAATGGTCTTTTCAAGATGGCTGATATAGATGGCCACAAAATGGAGGTACTCACTTTTAACTGTGAAATCACTGGTTTATTAACACAATCTGACTGGGACAAGTACCACACAAAACTCACAAATACTCAGTAATCGTACTACAGTATTTGTATGGTGCTGTTATGGTTATTAGTAATTGTGAGCTCTTCCCAAATTTGAGCAAAATTCAACATCGGGACAATATTTGCTGTGAGATTTTACTCATATCATACCATTTAAACAGCCTGAGGTTTATTTTCATTGTCAGGAAGCCACTCTAATAATATCCCTATATATAATATGTGAAATTGTATTATTCAGATGAAAATAGATGCGTAGAGCATACCATAATTATTAAAGTCAATTACTGGATAGAATTATGAAAACGGCAAGTGATTCTTGAAGTTTCAACTCCAGTTTGTCAAACAAACAGGACTTCAGCTCATACATACAATTTCAGACAAGACAATGTAGATGCCTCTTATTTTTAGTTTTCCATCCACATAACTCTGCGTTCAACATATATTGACTTACAGCTGTTGTCCCTGGTTACCAGAACCATTGTCTTCATCAAGAATGGTGTCATTTAGAGAGAACAGCATCAACAGCCTGAGAAATATAGTTCTTGGCTCTTCCATCAAGTGTACACAACCTCCAAGTAATTTCTTGGCTCTGTTCGAGGAATATCAGAACATCAATATTAATTCAGTAGAAACATACAAGAATAACTTTGTGAATGTGTTTGGGATTTTGATAGATAAACAGTATAAAGTTTATCAATTGAAATTAAGTTAATGGTTTTCCCTAAACAATTATTTTTAATAACATGTGGGTAATATTTATCAAATCCTTGCAAGTTTATCAATATTTAAGAAGAGGAGAAAACTACAGTGTACTGGAGAAGACACTGAAGGTATACAGTGACACACCTGTTGATCATGGTACTAGAACCCCCACAACCTGCCACCTTGAACATGGAGCCAATGGTGTTCTGTTTACTCTTCTTTATCAACATCTGTATTATATCAGGCTTGTTCTGATTGGTCACATTGATGTGATAGGTCTTAGCTAGAGTTTTCAAATCTCCAGCAGATAAGATGTTCAATGTCACCTGAAGGTCAGTAAGACAATCCGCTGAAACACAGAATCCAGTAGGTTAACTGACAGGGTACATCATTGTTTTTTATTAGCCCTCTATGTCCATAATCATCAGTGTTATTAGCTGTTACATAGAATTAGAGAAATCATGTATCCATCGGTTTCATTCACTGGTTTGTTTCTTCATAAAGAAAAAAGTTAAATGTGTTATGTTATATCTAAAGTGCCCACGAAAACAGACTGATCTAGGCTCATATGTAAAGTAAACATTTTTTAATACTAATTTTGGTGTAGAGATATGAAATATTATACATGAATTCCCAATAACCATCCTTTGTTGTTAATTGATAATTCATGCTTTATTAAGTGTCAATTTTTACTTTAAATTTTGCATATGCATACTTATCCTTTCCTCTGTCACTTATAGTGATTGTAAACTTTACACTTACACTTGTACCTTACAATTTACTGCTATGTAGTGTAATTTTCACAATATGATACTTCAATTCAAGGTATAAAAAGAGTTGAACATCAAAGTCACATGTTGATATCAGTCATTTATGAAACTGATAAGGTTTGATCAAATGATTTACCCATCTGAACAAGGTGATGCTTGGCCAGCTGCATCATAACTGGTGTCAGATCATCGTCTATTTCTGGATACTTTATTCTAGATATTGGTAACCATGCTAACTTTCTGGAGAACAGGCGAATATACAGCTTTTGTGCAGATTCTTAAAAAAGAAAATATTACAAAAGTAGGTGATGAATGAATGTAATAGAACAAAGCAGAAATATTGATATTACTGGTAGTTACAATTAAACAAAATTTAAAACAAAAAATATTTACAAAATATATTCAATATGTTACTGGTACCTGAGCATGTTTGAAATTTTCCAATAAATTTCATATCATCTTCACTGAAAAGCTTCACATAATCAGGTTCCCCCAGCACTGTCGTCATAATCACTTTAAAGTTTTCATGATAATATGGTGTTTTGTACTTCTCCTTTAAATCCTCTCCTACACTGTCTGTTTGACTGTCAGTTGTCATACTGCCTCCCTGACTGTCTTTTGTCTCAATGATTTCCACCAATCCGTCACTAGGAATATTTACTGGTTGAGATTCTTCTTCCTGGCTCTCCCCTTTAACATTTAACTTTTTTTCTTGTTTACCAATGGATATTTTTGTTTTCTTAATTTGGCTTTGTTTTCCAGAAAATTTCTGTTTGTTTGCATTGTCATGTAGCTTTAATTGAGATTTGTTAGATGGAGAAATGTTTCCTGCTGATGAAGGTCTATTTCTAGGTCCCGTTGTATCCTCTACTTCCACTTCAGACTCCTCGCCATCTGTAGGAGTTCCATCTCTGACTCTGGAATATTTCTCACTCTTTGATGTCTTTTTTATTTTGTTTTTACTCTCTGGCTTGATTTTAAGATGGTCTACAAATGAACTGCTCTTTTTTTCAGTTTCTTTGCTTATTTGCTTTTTCAGAGATTTAGTGTGGTTTCTTTTCTTTTTGTCTTCCGTCACAAAATCATCATCACTCTCTGATATCTTTCTTTTCCGTAGAGACAGTTGTAAAGACTTCCTGGTTGATGATTTCCCATACTTGACATTACAAGTATTCTCCTTTTGTGATGGAGATTCTTCATTGTCACCAGCTTCATTTTCTGTTTCATCATCAACTTTCACCATTTCATCTTGAAATATTTTCTTTGAAACAGATTTCTTGAGATGTAATCTTGAAGAACTTCTACGTTTTTTAATGAAAGGAGATACAGATTCTGGGAGAGTTGCTTTCAAATCACCTTTATTTTCAGTTTTTTGAAAATATTTACTTTCTACTTCAATGACTGTGACATCATCAGAATCAGTGTCAACACTAGGATTGTCCTGCTGGACATTGCATGAGATGCCTGAAGAAGGTTTTGACACTCCAGCAGTCTGCTGTTTAAACATGGCTGTTATGGTCTGAACACCTTTTGGTGGTGGAGATTTTTTCAGTTTCTGTTTTCCCCATTTCTTAGGACTCTTCCCTATCCCTTTTGGCTTCATGTTTTCTGAGTGAGAAAAAAATAAAGCAGTTGAAAAGATCTAACATGATGCAATGTAAAGACCAAAAAATGGAACTGCAAAGTTATGGCTGCTGCTATTTTCATGGTATGTACACAAACATTAATTGCTGCAAGCAACATGTTATAAAAAAAAATGTGCTTTTAATGTTAACTTTTAATTCTAAGGTACAGAATATAGTGGTATGTCTGGGCGGTGTGGGATAGGGGTCTGCCAAAAGGATTGTAATCAAGACAATATAATTCACTATCTACAAAAACTTTATTTCACTGCATCGTTTCAATCTCAGCTGATCAGTCTTCACCTGAGGTTACATGTACCTAGACCAACACTTAAACCAACTGAGCAGTTGTAGTGTTGGGTTTAATTCTGAACGAACTCAACATCTCAACCAAATACACTAAATTCAATTTGATGTATCATCTTGAAAATTAAATATCAATAAAATCATTGCATTTCAAAATTTTGTTGTTCACATGGTTGTAAATTACAAAGATGTCTCATCTTGGCTTTCCATGGAAATCTCAACCTAATTAAGGACCTGTTTCACCCACCTTGCTTTTTTTTCTGACGCCAGTTTTAAACTTTTATTCAAGTTTGTAGTCTGGTCTGTAGATAAGGAGAAAATCTAGACTCCATTACAGATGTTATGATCCTCGTAAATGGAGGATTCCACCACAGTCAAAATGTGCAAGGTCTGGAACAGAAAAATGAAAGGAAAAAAAGAGAATGAGAGGCTGCATCGTCTAGTTCACATCTAAAATTGTTTACATTTTGAATAAATGTCAGTTAAGAATGTACACAAAATGAAAATGAACCTTTATTTCATTTAATTGACATGATTATTTAACAATCAGCATAAACTCTAGATCTGTGAAGCTTTTATCATGACGTTACCAAGGGAACAAATGTTGTTTTGGATGATAGAGGAACACAGGAAGGGGAAAACCAAGGTCACATTGGTAGAGAACAACTAACCCATCAGATGTTATACCCAACACCAGTCATCTCAAACATATGATCAAGGTGGAAGTAGTCTGAAGCTCAATCTTGATTGCACAAATCCTGACAGTCATACTGTCAGTGCATGTAATGTCATACCTGGGAGAACACCTTGACGCAGATTTGTGTCCATGCCAGTCACTTACCTGTTATCATAACTGGACACACGTGTTATTTACCGGTATATTTGCTCACCTAAGCAAGAGAGTGGATACCGTAATTATAAACTCTGATGTGTGATTACATAGTAAGTACGTTTGGATATGGATATATGGAGCTACAAAACAACGATCATTTCACCTCAAATGAGACTGATTTACCACTAAATTACATTTTTGTTTTCATTTATAAAGCTAAACTACTGGAGCATCACAACGATCATACATCAGTTCTTGAAAAATACATGGAATCATTAGGCGTGCAGAATCACCCTACGATACATGTAGCTTTTCGAACAATCTGATGATGAATGCATATTCAACAGTATTTCATATCTGAAGGCCGACATTAACGTTTCGCCAACAGCCGACAGTTTTCAGCCTTAAATTCAATTAGATTAGATTATCCATGTCTATTACATCGGATGAAAATTTTGCATACACGCAACAATTTGCAATTGGTGTTCCGAATGGTCCAAATAAACTTGGCGCTATTGAAAAATATTAAAAACATCTGTGTCACAATTACTCTTTGAACAAGAGGCTTCCACAGGAAGCACATAACTAACCCAGATACACAAGGAGTATATAACTTATAAACCAATTCTGGTCGGCCACGGATTATTACCATATTAACTCCAAAAGACGCCATATGTGAGGCGATCTATATGCATGCAAGCAAATCCTAATTGTTCATTAAAGTTCAAGACTAATTATTTTTTAAAGATTATTCAAACATTAATCATTTCTTAAATGTTCCTTGTAAATCATATTGGGACAATTAATATAAAATTTATTTTAACAGACTGTCCACACATTAACGAAATATCTCAGAGTTATTTCACTTCACTTTTCTGTCCCAAATACCAGATCTCTTGCTGTATCAATACATGTCAGGATGACATCACAATAATCAATTACAGATATCAGTACATGAACACTTTGTATGTGAATTACTATGTACTTGCTTTGTAGTAATGATAATCAATTACAGATATATGATTCACCCACTTCAGAGTTATAAAGATTACCAATTAATTTACAATGAAGGTCAAACAACATTCCAGGTTAAGTCGTCTACACAGAATTATAAAATTAGTTCATCAATTTATATTTGCCTTTTCATAAACAATGACAAAAACAAAACTGTTTTGTTACACAATTATGATATATAATTTTGAAATGAAATTTTAAGAAACAACATTTAATTATTGAAATCTATTTTGTATTTACAAATTGTAAGTGTTAGGAAATGCTATAGCTTCAAGCTTTTAATTCAAATCTGATTTCAGGAAAATAATTTAAAAGCTTTTCATTAGCGATTTCCAAAATTTATTTTTATGAGAAAGTACTATCTATCTGTAGTACATGAGCCATTATACACATTGTGTTGATACATTTATATAATAATGTTAGTATCATGTTGTTTATCAAAAGAAATCCAAAACACATTTCATTAAAATATACATAAATTTATTCAAATGTAACAAAAAAATATAGTTTTGTTGAACAATCAATAAATCAACAAGTTGTTTTATTTACAATCACATTGTATATTAGAAAATATCTTGTTACTTCGAAAGTTCTGACTAAAGTAATAGAAATGATATATGTTTTCATTTTTTCACCTACAGTAATTACACATGTAATTGCTAGCACATATTTTTTAATCAGGCATTAATTAGAATGAACTTTATAATTCATTAAAAAAAATCCTCGACCACCTTAAGGCAAGAAGTGGAAACCAAATGGTTTCATGTCCTTTATACGATAATTAATTACTAAATCGCATCATGACATCCCTTCCAATATTTATAATACATATAATTATATATCAAATAGTCATTTAAATAATTTCTTTAAATCAAATCTAAGATTCAATATGGACTTATCAAACATCATACCAATTCTTGATTTTAAGTTAGATCAATATTCCTGGACCAGTTTTGTAGGAATCAAGTTTATAAATCCCCTTATTACCCTGTATATAAAGCTGGGTTCCTTTTGTCTAGGAATGCTCCACATCCATAGAGGTAGACAAGGTTTTGATTTTTAAATGATCGAAGCTAAAAGAAGAGAAAATATATGGATGAACTTGCTTGATCTTTACAAGGTGAGCTATTCATGTATAGACAATTTCCTAATTTTCCTATATGGCAACACTTTTGCCAATTAGAGAAATCTGGTTGTAACAGTCACACTGATTTACACGTTATTCTCTCTGAAACACATTATCATCCATTGGTTCTGCAAAATGGGAAGTTTTTGTAATTAAAGGAGTATATCACAGTGTTTACAGCAGTTTCAATAACGTCTGATCACAGCTTGTTGGTTTGAGGTTTCCGTCGACGTTTATTAATATATTGGATGCCTTTTTGTTTAGATACAGCCATGACAGTTCCGTTGTTGCTGTCAGCCTCCACTAACAGCAGAAAGCCATTAACAACATCAGCCACCCTAGAGAAAAATAACAGAAAAAAATAGTAAACGTAAGTTCAAAAGGTTAAACAATACACAATTAAATACATATTAACTGAAACCAGTTTAAGCCGAAAACAAACATTACAGAGTTGTCTTTATTCTTTAATCACTGGTCTACCAAAGTCTTACAACCAAACATATGTACATGTATTAAGAAGGAAGTCATATGAAACCATTAATGGCCTATGTAGTTTCCCACATTAATCTATTTTTAGGTTCCTATTTTGGGAATTCAATTTGATCCCCATAATTTGTGAAAAACAGAACTCTGTTGTTAATAGCAAAAGGCACAACTAGGGTACTAACTTAATATATACAGCAAGTTTTGTGAAGTTAAGTTGAAATGAAGTTATAGCCTGAAAAAAAACCCTCGGACAGATATATGGACAGACAGACAGATGGAGCCCAAATTAACATCCCCCGCAAACATGTTTTGCGGGGAAAGTTAGGGCGATTTCAAAATAGGCATGTTTAAACATTATTTGATTTGGTAATAGTGTGTTGACAGTACAGTACACACATTAAAGTAAAATTACACTCGTTAAAGAATAAATTTAATGTTCAAATTTTAAAATCTGTATGATAATGTTTCATGTCTACCAGTACTGCTTTATGGAATCCACACTCACGTTTGTATTCCTGTGTCTGTTACAACTTTGCTCACTTGGTTTAAAATTTCATCTTTGATTTCTTTCTGTGCTGAGTGAGTTTTATTGAATAGTTGTGTGTTGGTAAATGCTGGACAAAGAGCTGCATAACTTATACCAGTTTCCCGTGCACTTGGGTTTGCCTGAAAACAAAGACGTATATACAGCATACTTCATTAGAGAAACAATGATAAATAAATAGTCATTAAGTATTTTACCTTGTACATCACCTGTAATACTCACCACATCAGATCTAAGATTTACGTCTACTGAACGACATTAATTTGTCTCCCCAATACAGGGCTGTCTTAATAAACAGAGCTTGTGATATCCTCTCCTTGTTCCACTCATCACTAGAGTGGGAACATTAAGTTTAAGTCTCGCCACCTCATCCCTAAAGTCTTAAGTCTCCAAACCTCATCCCTTAAGTCTTAAGTCTTGCCACCTCATCCCTTAAGTCTTAAGTCTCCCAACCTCATCCCTTAAGTCTTCAGTCTCCCGACCTCATCCCTAAAGTCTTATGTCTCCCGACCTCATCCCTAAAGTGTTAAGTCTCCCGACCTCATCCCTTAAGTCTTAAGTCTCCAAACCTCATCCCTTCAGTCTTATGTCTCCCGACCTCATCCCTTAAGTCTTCAGTCTCCCGACCTCATCCCTTAAGTCTTCAGTCTCCCGACCTCATCCCTTCAGTCTTATGTCTCCCGACCTCATCCCTTAAGTTTTAAGTCTCCCTACATCATCACTTATGTCCTGGAATGTAATCCTATAACTACAACAAATGACTTATCTCAGTGACTCTGGACTGCAACCTTCCTTATTCTTATAATATCCACTGTCACTGAATGCAATTCCATAAGATTAAACAAAACTACTGTTGTGTTGTGTATGTAGAAGACATGAAAAATGTACTACTTGTTTAATTTTAGAAAGACTATGATTAAATACGTAAAAAATAGTGCATCATTATTTAGTTAGTCGTACCAATAACACAACAGTAAAATCAGGCATATGATAAAACACGTTCATAAATTAACAATGGGTGATGTCACTCAGTAGTTACAGATTTACAGTGAATCCCTGACAACTTACTGCCATACTTCTGGTGTATCCCACGACACCATACTTGGATCCAGCGTAGACTGGGGCGTAGAAAATTGGTGTTAACCCTGTCAATGATAAAAAGCAAGATTATTTGTGATGGCAGGTAAAAAAAAGAAAAAAATCACTCTTTTGAATGTACCAGGTATACCGCTACTAAGCTCAGATACACATATTTTGAAATGTTTGAGAAACATTACACCTCTAAGAGGAAATCATTCAGGAAGGCTAAGCAAACATGAGACCTTGATAGGACATTCAAATAAAATACATGTACAACCCAACACAACACTAGCTAGGACATTCAAATAAAATACATGTACAACCCAACACAACACTAGCTAGGACATTCAAATAAAATACATGTACAACCCAACACAACACTAGCTAGGACATTCAAATAAAATACAACCCAACACAACACTAGCTAGGACATTCAAATAAAACACAATACATCACAACACTAGCTAGGACATTCAAATAAAATACAACCCAACACAACACTAGCTAGGACATTCAAATACAACACAATTCATCACTAGTTAGGACATTCAAATAAAATACAACACAATACATCACTAGCTAGGACATGTACATAAAATACAGCACAACACAACACTAGCTAGGACATTCAAATACAACACAACACAACACTAGCTAGGATATTCAAATACAACACAACACAACACTAGCTAGGACATTCAAATACAAACAATACATCACTAGCTAGGACATTCAAATACAATACAATACATCACTAGCTAGGACATTCAAATAAAATACAACACAATACATCACTAGCTAGGACATTCAAATACAACACAATACATCACTAGCTAGGACATCCAAATACAACACAATACATCACTAGCTAGGACATTCAAATAAAATACAACACAATACATCACAAGCTAGGACATTCAAATACAACACAATACATCACAAGCTAGGACATTCAAATACAACACAATACAACACTAGCTAGAACATTCAAATAAAATACAACACAATACAACACTAGCTAGGACATTCAAATACAACACAACACATCACTAGCTAGGACATTCAAATACAACACAATACATCACTAGCTAGGACATTCAAATAAAATACAACACAATACATCACTAGCTAGGACATTCAAATACAACACAATACATCACTAGCTAGGACATTCAAATACAACACAATACATCACTAGCTAGGACATTCAAATACAACACAATACATCACTAGCTAGGACATTCAAATACAACACAATACATCACTAGCTAGGACATTTAAATACAACACAATACATCACTAGCTAGGACATTTAAATACAACACAATACATCACTAGCTAGGACATTTAAATACAACACAATACATCACTAGCTAGGACATTCAAATAAAATACAACACAATACATCACTAGCTAGGACATTCAAATAAAATACAACACAATACATCACTAGCTAGGACATTTAAATACAACACAATACATCACTAGCTAGGACATCTAAATATAATACAACACAATACATCACTAGCTAGGACATTCAAATACAACACAATACAACACTAGCTAGGACATGCAAATACAACACAATACATCACTAGCTAGGACATTCAAATACAACACAATTCATCACTAGTTAGGACATTCAAATAAAATACAACACAATACATCACTAGCTAGGACATGTACATAAAATACAGCACAACACAACACTAGCTAGGACATTCAAATACAACACAACACAACACTAGCTAGGATATTCAAATACAACACAACACAACACTAGCTAGGACATTCAAATAAAATACAACCCAACACATCACTAGCTAGGACATTCAAATACAACACAATACATCACTAGCTAGGACATTCAAATACAACACAATACATCACTAGCTAGGACATTTAAATACAACACAAACATCACTAGCTAGGACATTCAAATACAACACAATACATCACTAGCTAGGACATTCAAATACAACACAATACATCACTAGCTAGGACATTCAAATACAACACAATACATCACTAGCTAGGACATTCAAATACAACACAATACATCACTAGCTAGGACATTCAAATACAACACAATACATCACTAGCTAGGACATTCAAATACAACACAATACATCACTAGCTAGGACATTCAAATACAACACAATACATCACTAGCTAGGACATTCAAATACAACACAATACATCACTAGCTAGGACATTTAAATACAACACAATACATCACTAGCTAGGACATTCAAATACAACACAATTCATCACTAGCTAGGACATTCAAATACAACACAATACATCACTAGCTAGGACATTTAAATACAACACAATACATCACTAGCTAAAACAATATGCCCCGATTTCCAATTTTAAAGACATTAAAATCACATGAAAACATCATCCCTTTTCTATGCTGATCATGCTACTGTTCTCAGAAATATCACAATGAATGGTTAAGTAGTTACTGACATCAGAGATCATAAAGAGTAATGGTGGATATATCTGACAACACTACAAAAGTTACACAACACTCTGGGTACATATTCAGGTGATCACAGTAGTAACAGGAGACAACCATTACCTGCTGTTGATGCTATGTTCACCACAAGTCCTCCTCGACCCCCAGCTGTCTTATCCATATAGGTGGAGGCTAGCATGGTCCCCTCAATTACACCAATCTAAATGAAGAGAAGTTAAAAATGCAACTCCAGCAAATATTTTACCTTCAGAAGTCTTATTCTTTTCTAAAATCAGGGTTACTAAATTCAACTATAATATGGAACTATCATTTTGAAATTTTATTTCATATTCCTAAATGCTCATCTGTGTTACTCCTACATGTCACTACAAGCCTTATAGACTGATATAGACAGCCCATCTCCAGCCTTGAGAATCCTTTCTCAAATGTCCCTTTTGTCCTGTCAGTTTGACTTGTATACTTTTCTGTCCCAGCTTAATCCCTCAGGTCCAATTAAATGTGGGAAATCCTCCTCATAAAATGATCAAATACCCTCTATGGATTGTCAAGTCCTTCCAGTTACCTGATACAGTACCCCTCTAAAGTTCTGCCAGCTTTATCTGATACAGTACCTCCTAAAGTCCTATGTTTATCTGATACAGGACCTCCTAAAGTCCTATGTTTATCTGATAGTATCCCCTAAATCCTATGTTTATCTGGTACAGTACCCCCTAAAGTCCTATATTTATCTGATACAGTATCCCCTAAAGTCCTATGTTTATCTGATACAGTACCCTCTAAAGTCCTATGTTTATCAGGTACAGTACCCCCTAAAGTCCTATGTTTATCTGATACAGTACCCTCTAAAGTCCTATGTTTATCTGGTACAGTACCCCCTAATGTCCTACCATGTTTATCTGAATTGTCCTCCTCCAAGTATCTGGTTCCTCACCATTCACACCTGCATTGTTCACAAGGATGTCTACTCCACCAAACTCCTTTATGACTTTTTTCATCACTCCTGTACAAAATTAGATTTAATTTAATCACAAGGCTCTTGCTTATTAATCAAATATTGTTCTCCCTTTAGAAGAAATCACTCAATCTCACCAAATTCCATTTAACAATATGACCCTCCTGACAAATTACATCTGTGTCCCCTACATTCCTCCTGACAAATTACATCTGTGTCCCCTACAACCCCACCTCCCCTGACAAATTACATCTGTGTCCCCTACACCCCACCTGACAAATTACATCTGTGTCCCCTTCACTCCTCCTGACAAATTACATCTGTGTCCCCTACATCCCTCCTGATAAATTACATCTGTGTCCCCTATACCCCTCCTGACAAATTACATCTGTGTCCCCTATACCCCTCCTGACAAATTACATCTGTGTCCCCTACATCCCTCCTGATAAATTACATCTGTGTCCCCTACCCTCCCCTACCCCCTGACAAATTACATCTGTGTCCCCTAGACCCCTCCTGACAAATTACATGTGTCTCCTACACCTCTCCTGACAAATTACATCTGTGTCCCCTACACCGCCCCCCCCCTCCCCTGACAAATTACATCTGTGTCCCCTACATTCTCTTGACAAATTACATCTGTGTCCCCTACACTCCTCCTGACAAATTACATCTGTGTTCCCTACACCCCTCCTGACAAATTACATTTGTGTCCCCTACATCCCTCCTGATAAATTACATCTGTGTCCCCTACCCCCCTGTGATAAATTACATCTGTGTCCCCCCCTCCCCCCTGACAAATAACATGTGTCCCCTTCCCCTCCTGACAAATTACATGTGTCTCCTACACCTCTCCTGACAAATTACATCTGTGTCCCCTACATTCTCTTGACAAATTACATCTGTGTCCCCTACATTCTCTTGACAAATTACATCTGTGTCCCCTACACTCCTCCTGACAAATTACATCTGTGTTCCCTACACCCCTCCTGAAAAATTACATCTGTGTCCCCTACATCCCTCCTGATAAATTACATCTGTGTCCCCTACCCTGTCCCCCCCCCCCCTGACAAATTACATCTGTGTCCCCTACATCCCTCCTGATAAATTACATCTGTGTCCCCTACACCCCTCCTGACAAATTACATCTGTGTCCCCTACACCTCTCCTGACAAATTACATCTGTGTCCCCTACACCTCTCCTGACAAATTACCTGTGTCCCCTATACCCCTCCTGACAAATTACATCTGTGTCCCCTACACCCCTCCTGACAAATTACATCTGTGTCCCCCACACCTCTCCTGACAAATTACATCTGTGTCCCCTACATTCCTCCTGACTCTACAGAACAGTAATAGTTTTTGACTGGTTTATCACTTGATGTGAGCTTATCAAAGAATGAATATAGAAAATATTTTTTCTAGAAGAGTTTTTTATTAAAAAAATCAACATCACTCATTTACCTTCAAATTGATCATGGTTGGTGACATCACACTTGAGGAACATGCTCTTTCCTGCCCCAAACTCTTTATTCCAGCTGCCGATAGTGGCTAGCCCAGTAGCAGAGTTAATGTCACAGATACAAACCTGTCAAGAAATGGAAATTTTTTTTAAAATTATAATTCAAATTTTATTTATCTTATTTCTGTTATTACTGCAATGATGAACCAACTTATTTCAGCTTACAAATACTAATCACACTAACACTGGGATCACTGGCCCGGCTGGAGGTGTGCATGGAGTCTTACTGTGTGAGGAAACTTGGCCAGGGTGCCCGGTGGAAACCAACGTGTGGTCATTGCAATGTGAAAGGTAAGCGTTGTTACTACATCAAACGACTACTTAAACAATGTATTTACTGATTTACGAAAATAAGCTGCCTCAGTAACCTGGACTGAAATATTGCAGATTTTAAAAAATTTTGTTCAATTGCCGTAACAATTATTTTTTCCTCTTTAATCTCTCTCTCTCGTCCTTATTCTTCACTCGAATCAGGAACTTCTCTAACTTCTAGACCGACCAGGCCTTGAAAAGAGGGTGTAAATGCATATTTATTAGACCACCTATCAGCCATGTCTCATGACAGGCGTCATAATTCACTTCAGATTAAAATTAATTGTAATGATATATAGGACATATGTGGACAGGGCCTGATGAAGTCTCGTCAGATGACTGGAGATGAGCATTTGTCCCAGTTTCTAACCTTTGCACCTTTCCGAAGTAGACCCTCGGCGAACCCACGACCTAATCCTTGCGCACCTCCGGTCACGATTGCAACTTTCCCGAGTAGTTTCATGTCTACTGGCCGTGTGAAGCCTTGATCACCCTGCTTATGACCTGTTAAAAGTTTCTGCCCGGTGTCTCTATGCGAGTCAACCGTGATCCTTGTAACGAAACAAGGGAAGTAACTCTAAAAACAATGATTACCGTAGTTAATCCATCAACAACACTACTTCGTGTGGTAAATTGTGGAAAAGACATCACCTGGTAAGTGTTTCAACATCACGAACCGATCGAGATCTATGTCACTGCTGTGATGATCCCCGACCCCACTGATTTTGTATAGATATGTACTTCTCTGGGGAAATCGGCATTCAGTACAGCATATGCTGTGCGTGTTCCTCAACTGACATGAGCTCCCAGAGTTACCGCCCTTCGTTATATTCTGTCAGATGGTCGAAAAAGTAATTCTTGACAGGCTAATCAAACCAACTCATAAGAAGATACGTGACGTACTAAATGTAGATATAAAGGGATATATATACCCTTTCTTGAATAAACTTCACATAAATGTAACAATAAATAAAGAAGGCTACAAGGGTCTTATTGGTAATCTAGCCATTAAGATATTAGTTCCTAAATTCAGCAGTGTGTTCGTATAAATTAAGAATGTGACAAATGTGTTCCAAATGAAATAGGAGCAGGTCGGCTTGTGTATAGTGTTAAATATACGGTCTCTGTCACTCAGCTGATGGGTCGGTATGGCTTGTATATAGTGTTAAATATACGGTCTCTGTCACTCAGCTGATGGGTCGGTGTGGCTTGTATATAGTGTTAAATATACGGTCTCTGTCACTCAGCTGATGGGTCGGTGTGACTTGTATATGGTGTTAAATACGGTCTCTGTCACTCAGCTGATGGGTCGGTATGGCTTGTATATAGTGTTAAATATACGGTCTCTGTCACTCAGCTGATGGGTCGGTGTGACTTGTATATGGTGTTAAATACGGTCTCTGTCACTCAGCTGACGGGTTGGTGTGGCTTGTATATAGTGTTAAATATACGGTCTCTGTCACTCAGCTGATGGGTCGGTGTGGCTTGTATATAGTGTTAGATACTGTCTCTGTCACTCAGCTGATGGGTCGGTGTGGCTTGTATATAGTGTTAAATATACTGTCTCTGTCACTCAGCTGACGGGTTGGTGTGACTTGTATATAGTGTTAAATATACGGTCTCTGTCACTCAGCTGATGGGTCGGTGTGGCTTGTATATAGTGTTAGATACTGTCTCTGTCACTCAGCTGATGGGTCAGTGTGGCTTGTACAATGTGTTAATACAGTCTGTCACTCAGCTGACGGGTCAGTGTGGCTTGTACATAGTGTTAGATACTGTCTCTGTCACTCAGCTGATGGGTTGGTGTGGCTTGTATATAGTGTTAGATACTGTCTCTGTCACTCAGCTGACGGGTTGGTGTGGCTTGTATATAGTGTTAAATACGGTCTCTGTCACTCAGCTGACGGGTCGGTGTGGCTTGTATATAGTGTTAAATACTGTCTCTGTCACTCAGCTGACGGGTTGGTGTGGCTTGTATATAGTGTTAGATACTGTCTCTGTCACTCAGCTGACGGGTTGGTGTGACTTGTATATAGTGTTAAATACGGTCTCTGTCACTCAGCTGACGGGTCGGTGTGGCTTGTATATAGTGTTAAATACTGTCTCTGTCACTCAGCTGACGGGTCGGTGTGGCTTGTATATAGTGTTAGATACTGTCTCTGTCACTCAGCTGATGGGTCAGTGTGGCTTGTACATAGTGTTAATACAGTCTGTCACTCAGCTGACGGGTCAGTGTGGCTTGTACATAGTGTTAGATACTGTCTCTGTCACTCAGCTGATGGGTTGGTGTGGCTTGTATATAGTGTTAGATACTGTCTCTGTCACTCAGCTGACGGGTTGGTGTGGCTTGTATATAGTGTTAGATACTGTCTCTGTCACTCAGCTGACGGGTTGGTGTGGCTTGTATATAGTGTTAGATACTGTCTCTGTCACTCAGCTGACGGGTTGGTGTGACTTGTATATAGTGTTAAATATACGGTCTCTGTCACTCAGCTGATGGGTCGGTGTGACTTGTATATTGTGTTAAATATACGGTCTCTGTCACTCAGCTGACGGGGTGGGGTGACTTGTATATAGTGTTAAATATACGGTCTCTGTCACTCAGCTGATGGGTCGGTGTGACTTGTATATTGTGTTAAATATACGGTCTCTGTCACTCAGCTGATGGAGCATCCTTCTTTGGTTTTGTTACACAAAACTAACTTACTTGATTGCTTTAAGTTTCAGCTCAATGACACAAGTTAGTGCGAATAGAAAACGAATTGGGGATGTGTTTTCATCTGCCGGTCACGTTGGGTATCTTGGAATTTGGGTCGAATCCCAAAAATTGGTATCATGGTATGGGCAATCAGATAATTCTTTCGGATAAATTTCAACTAAATCTAACAAGTTGAACTGAAGTTAAATCTTAAGATGTCTGTTGTTAAGGAAACTCATAATTATGCGATCATGCTACAAAATGGCCGCGGAAACCGTCCTTATAAAACCATTTCCTATATAGATCTAGCAAGTTTCAACTCAGGATCAATAAAGAAGTTCATAACACATTTATCAAAACGGCAAAGATACCGGCCATCCGGGATTTCTTCTTTCTCCAGACCTCCTTAGCAAAATGGATGATGTGAAGTGCATGGGCATGCAAATAGATAAGCATTCTTCATTCCTTTTTATTTTTTCAATTTCTTTTATTTATTTACTTCTGCTTTAACATAAATATATGTACGAATGTAGACTTTAACGTAGGAGACGTTTGAGAACAGCTAGAGTCAGCTGATCTTTAAACATATTTACAGAAACAGTGTCTACAATGGCCCCAGGGAGGGTATCCCACTGGACAACTGTGCGTGGAAAGTAGGACTATTTGAAGGCGTCATTTGTTGCAAATACATCTCTGAATTTTTCATTGTTGATTTTCGATTTTCTACTGTCAATAAGAACAGAGGATACCAGTTGTAGGAACAGCAATGAGACAGCGGAAAGTTTTAGACGACGCGTTGCTAACAGTGACCAATGGATATTTCTAATAATTTCTTACACACTATCTGTGCCATGGTAGTTATTGCATATATATCTAACTGCACGTCGTTGAGCCATTTCAATTTTGTTAATATTGCGATGTGTGAGCGTCCCATATACAAATACGTATGTATCACACTAAAGTTTGTGCTATACTAGTGACTGTTAAGCTTTAGCCTCGTATTTGAAAATTTAAGATTTCTCTTCAAATCGACCCGAACGATATCGTCACTTGGTTTGTACCATTACATGATTATTCTAGGCAAAATTCAGATTTAGCAAAAACGAAGAGTTTTCGAAGAAGTCTAAAGTATACGTTTGTTCATGAAACCCGTGATTGTGTTATCATGTTTCAACAAAAATAAAGTATTTACAGTCTGTGGAGCTGGAGGTGAATCTTAAAATGTGTTTTCAAGGTGGCGGAAATTGAGTCCATCTTGGATTTGTACCGAAATGAAAAATAACAACACTTTTTCAGAACATTCCATGCAAGTTTTAACTAGATCCTCGAGGAGATAAGGTACACCTTATGTGATATATTTAATCAGTTTTATGAAAAGATACATTTAAAACGCTTTTATAACACGCAGATAATAAATGAAGGACTCAAGGCTTCTACAGGTTACAGACGATACGTAGATAGTTATAAAGATATAAAATGTGGAAGTTTACCAACAATCAATTTTGAGCTATTAATTTAAGAAATGCGCCATCAATCGAATTTTTACCTCTGTACAAGGCAGTTATTATCATACGTAACGCCACAGTTCTTCCTAGTCATTCCTTAAAACAGAACGATATCTGATCATTTCTAACGTTATTGTCATAATGAGAATTCACATGTACTAAATTCTCGTTATAAAAGGGACTTCCTACAACAGGCCGATTCGATCCAAACGGCGATCAATCATCTACTGCCACAGACAACATGTCGTTATAGCACGTGCTGTTTTAATGGTTATGTAATTTTTCCTACTCTTACAGAAACCCTACATTAGCAGTAATTACATCTATAAATGTATCTCACCACATGTGACAACACAATGGACAGGAATATCACATAAATCAGTGTCTGAACCCGTCTAAGACGTACCGAAGAGGAAACATGTTGTCGGGTAAACATTCTAATAATAGGTTTGTAAGAAGAATGAGCGGACAGAAAACTTAGAAATACACCATTTTATTAAAACTGCGTGCATAAGGAATCTGAAAGTGTAAATTAACGGATGTTCGAATATGATATTTACTGTTGAATCTGACAGCTGACATCTTGTTCAATACAAGAGAGATACTTAATGCTAAATATATCATGTTTGTGAAGTAGATCCCAGTACTTATTTAAGGGTGTATATTTTGTATGTACAATGTAGATTTAATGTTAAGCGAGACCAGTTTTCAGAGGTTCAAACTGTCCTAACTTACTACACAGGTCAACTAGAGACATATCACTTACCATGTAGTAAAACAATAAATTTGATCTCGATCAGTTTGTGAGGTCAAAGTGGGATAAAGTGGAGAGAGATATTAAAACCCAGACGATTTGGACCATATTTTCATCAACAGTGATTTACAAATCTTGCTGAAGTCGAAAAAGCAAAAAGTTCGCCCACAAGCAATATAACATATGGTCAGTCACTACCACCTACAGTCGTGAGTGAAAATGTCGGACTGCTTATCTACATTTCTATATAGGATAAAACTGAATGACGCAATATTCCTCTTTTGTTAGAATCCATATTTATATTTGGACTAGAGATTGGTAGTTATCGTATGTTTAAAAGAAACGCTATTGACTAACCTTAATCACTTATCCTTGAATTCGACTTGCCGGAAACTGATGTTGGACCGATCGATTTGAATTTTCCGGGAAAAGTTATAGATCCTGCACTGCATATCAGTTTATCGAGAACCACTTCTCTGACAGACTCAGATAGTAATTTTGAAACATTTTCTTCAGGTTTGTGATGTCAATAGAATAAAAGTTCTTATAACATAACCAGGAGACTACTGATTGTGTTAAAAGATT